TTCCTGATAAGGAGACTCATGTGCAACATGTCCACCAAGTACTACAGCGCCTACTGGATAATCACTTGTTCGTAAAAGCAGAGAAGTGTGAGTTCCATGCATCAACTGTCTCATTCCTGGGGTTCATCATTTCTCCTGGACAAATCCTGATGGACCCTGCAAAGGTCAGTGCAGTGGCAGACTGGGCCACCCCCACCAATAGGAAGAAGGTACAGCAGTTTTTGGGGTTTGCTAACTTCTACAGACGATTTATTAGGAACTTTAGCTCTGTTGCTGCTCCCCTTCATGCACTGACCTCACCAGGGGTTAACTTTGTGTGGGGCCTCAGGGTCGAGGAGGCTTTTAATGAGTTAAAAAGAAGGTTTACCACAGCTCCCATACTGACTGTTCCTGATCCTCAACGACAGTTTGTTGTGGAGGTGGATGCCTCCAATGATGGGGTGGGGGCCATTCTCTCACAGAGAGCGGCTGGGGATCATAAGATGCATCCTTGTGCCTTTTTGTCTCGCAAGCTATCTCCCGCAGAGAGAAACTACGACGTCGGAAACCGAGAGCTGTTGGCAGTCAAGATGGCTCTGGAGGAGTGGAGGCACTGGCTTGAGGGGGCGCCACAGCCGTTCTTGGTTTGGACCGACCACAAGAACCTTCAATACATCCGCAAAGCTAAGAGGTTGAACTCACGCCAGGCCCGGTGGCAACTTTTTTTTAACCGTTTTGACTTTACATTGTCTTTCAGACCTGGGTCCAAGAATGGCAAACCTGACGTCCTCTCACGCCTCCATGACCCAGAGCCCATGGCCAAGGAACCGGGGCCAATCCTTCCACTCTCCCGTGTGGTTGGGGTGGTGACATGGCCTATAGTAGATCAGGTGAAACGTGTCAATGGTGAGGGGCAGAAACCTAGTGGCTGTCCATTGGACAGGCTATTCGTGCCTGAATCCATGCGGTCACAGGTTATTCATTGGTCTCACACATTACTGCTCACTTGTCATCCAGGGGTCAAGCGGACCGTATTCGTCGTTCGACAGAGGTTTTGGTGGCCTTCCTTGGTTAAGGATGTCTCCGAATATGTGGCTGCCTGTGTAGTTTGTGCCAGGAACAAGACGTCATCAAAATCACAGATGGGACTGCTGCAGCCTCTCCCCGTTCCCAGCAGGCCCTGGTCTGACATTTCGTTGGATTTTGTCACGGGTCTTCCTCCATCCAAGGGTAACACCACTGTCCTCACTGTAGTGGACATGTTCTCTAAGATGGTCCATTTTATTGCCATGCCAAAGTTGCCGTCAGCTAAAGAGACTGCTCAGGCGTTATTGACTCTTGTTGTCCGTATTCATGGTATTCCCAGAGACATTGTGTCGGATCGAGGTCCTCAGTTTTCCTCCAGGTTCTGGAAGGAGTTTTGCACCCTCCTGGGAGCGTTCGTCAGCCTCACCTCAGGTTATCATCCCCAGTCCAACGGACAGACGGAACGGCCTGCACTGCCTGGTTTCTCAGAACCCTGCAACCTGGAGCGAGCATCTGACATGGGTGGAGTATGCACGCAACTCTTTGCCCACCTCTGCTACCGGTCTGTCTCCCTTTCACTGTGTCTTTGGCTATCAGCCTCCTCTATTCTCAGAAACTGAGAAGGAGGCGGTGGTGCCATCTGCTCACGCCTTAGTCAGAAGATGCCACTGTGTCTGGGCTGCAGCTCGTCGGGTCCTCCTGAGGAATTCGGCTCGGATGAAGACGGTGGCGGATCAACGGCGACGGGCGGCACCTACATACAGACCGGGGCAGCGGGTGTGGTTGTCCACAAAGGATCTGCCTCTCGGGGTCTTGTCAAAGAAGCTCGCTCCAAGGTTTGTGGGTCCATTTCCTGTCACTAAAATAATCAATCCTGTATCTGTCCGTCTCCGTCTGCCCAGGTCACTACGGGTTCATCCAACGTTCCACGTCAGCCGAATCAAGCCGGTTCTGGACAGTCCGCTGGTTCCACCCTCCAAACCCCCCCCCCCGTGTTGTTGATGGCGGTCCGGTGTACTCTGTCAAACGTCTCCTTTCAGTGAGAAATCGAGGCCGAGGTCGTCAATTTCTGGTTGATTGGGAGGGCTACGGTCCTGAAGAACGGTCCTGGGTCCCGTCCAGTTTTATCGTGGGCAAAGACTTAATCGAGGACTACTACAGGTGTCATCCGGAGGTCCCAGGGCCGTCAGGTGTCGTCCCTAGAGGGGAGGGTACTGTTGGGCGTAGACGGCTCTGCTAAGATTGTTCCCTAGTTTAGGTTTCATGTTATGTGTTTAGATAGGTTCCTGTTTTATTTTGATAGTCTTGTCTACCCTCATGTGTCTAAACTACGTTTCCTGCCTTGTCTGTTTTCCCACGGTTGTGATTGTCTAATTGTCTTCACCTGGTGTTGTCTGTCTAGTATATATAGTTCTCGTCTTCCCCTGTCTCGTTGCCAGATTGTCTTGTGTGTTCCAAGCCTTCCAGCGTAAGATCCTTTTGTCATTGTCCATAGAGTTAGATTAGTGTATTAGTAGTTTTTGTTTTGTTGCTTTATGTATTCAGTGTGTTATGACCTGTCTACATTAAAACACTTTATTTTGATACTTTGTTTGTCTCTGCATCGTGCATTTGGTTCCACGCCCTTGTACAGCCCTAACACAGTGTAGTGCAGAACTACAATTATCTACCAACAAAATGGCCAAAAGATATTCTGCTCAGTGAGCCTTGGAGCTAATAATGGATGAGAGTGAGTGGAAAGCATTAGAAGAACACGGTGAAGTGGAACAGAAAGACATTTCTGAAGATGAGGATAATGTGGACGTAAACTCAGAATTTGACAGCAAATTGGAAGATGAACTTGACTCAGAGCCAGCTGCTGGAAGACCCCCACAGCCAGCTGCAAGAAGACCCCCACAGTCAGCTTCTGGAAGACCCCCACAGCCAGCTGTGAGGTCTGTGGACCCTCAAAGGACTCCAAGACACAGACTACATGCAGCAACTGCAACAAGTACATCTGTGCTATACACACGAAGAAGTTCTGCACATCATGTGTTTCTTAAACGGACTTGCCCATTGACTCACATGATGTTCTGCAGCGTCACTTCATCAATATATTTTTTCGGATATACTGTATTTTATGAATAGTGACTGTTAATTGTTTTTATTTGCTTTGTGTTTATATCTGTTCTGTTATTTATATGGATGTTTCATTCTCTCTATATTTCACAGCCAAATACTTTTGGATGTGTGGTTATTGTGTTCCAATTGCTGCTAAATTGCTTTATTTCCTTCAGGGCTTTGATTATTATATGACAGATTAAAAATAATAAACATTAATGAATTTTTTTTTCATTTACATTAGTCCTAGAAAAGCATGAGCAAAATGTAAACTTAGTTTTATTACAGTGTATTTTTTTTTAACATAAATTACATTTTTATCACAAAAAACGATGGACACTTCCATTGTTAAATTTGATCTAGCAAAGAGTATTTTCAAAAACTAATCATATATTTCATTTATATTGTTGGGGAATGAGTTAAAGACAATATATAAGGAATTGTGCATGTTGAATTTAGTTCTGTATTTTTTTTAAACCCTGAAATATGTCCCGGGTCAATTTGACCCAAACATTACCAAAGGGTGTGAAATGGGAACATAACACACATTAAAAATGTAATTTAATATAAAGACTTAATTTATTATTATTATTAATAACATGTGCATAGATATTTTTCAGGGGCGGACTGGCCACCTGTAGAATGTCCCCGCAATGAGGCTCTCCCCCCTTTGACAATTCACTAGCACCCCCCCCCCCCCCCCCCCTTATTTTCATGTAACAGACAGAGAATCAGCACTTTTGAAATAGGGCTGAAACAGAGGGGATTATGGATTGCTACGATCTGTTTGGTATTTCGGTGCCAAACACTTCAGCAGGGCCGAATTCACCATATATATATTCAGATACGCTCAAAATGTCCCCCCCCAATATATAGCCTAACTGATATAAAACAATTAAAATAAAATTGCTATGACTTTTTTATTTTGGCTATTTGTATACTTGAAAATCTTTATTTTCTTCACCAAAATGACATTTTCTTTTCATATGTAAATTGGGTCCGCCTTTGTTTGTTTATGCATACCTTTATTTTGCACGTCCGAGTCCAGCTTCAGTTAGCGTTGATGCTCCAAACAGGTCAGTCATGTTTTAATTTGCCCTCCATCAGTTCTGGTATCTTTTTCTAGTTAGCCCTAGACTATATTATTTTATTTCATAATGGTAATGTTAATGAACCCTCCGGTTTAGCTTCTTTGTGTAAATAACTTGTAGTTCTGATGTTAAAACCGAATTTTTCAGGAATAGTAGGGGAGTGATTTGTAAAATATGCATAAAGAAAAGGTAAATCTGTTTACAGTTCTGTTTCATATGGATGTTGAGAGATGTATCCATAGATTTAGTCCCTAATGTTGCTCTCAAAGTGCACCAGATTGATGCATTTAACTTCAACATTTAAAAAAAAATCATGCCCCCTGACCCCCCTAGAGGGGGTTAGGTCCACCACCTGCCCACACCCCCCGTCAAATTGTCCCACCCACATTGAGGATGCTTCCTACGGGTTTTGCCCCCACGGGCGGGGGCATGGGGTTTAACAGGTTTTAAAGTATCCCATGTGTTAGTGAATTTTTATATATTTTCCTTTAGAATGGCAGGAAATTAGTATTCAAATTTGTATTTAATTTTTGGTCCCCCCCAATGTTGACTCCATGGTTACGGCCTTGCACTCCAGAGACAAATTTAGTATCTGAGACCTATAATAAAGTATTGAAAAACAGTATAATAGACTAAAATGTGCTTGAGTCGTGTTGGGTTAAAAAAAATTATTTGATGTTTTTTCCCAATATTTGACTCCCCAACTGTGTTGTGAGCAAATTGCACGCTTCCTTTAGCACAATTTGGGCTTTCCATATACGGGGAGGGGTCAACACAGGAAGCACAACTGCACTCCCACTGCTGCTCACGTTTTCTGACAGCTACTGAACTGCAGCTCCTCAGTCACACTTTGAAACGCTGTCTATCTGCACAAGTATTCGGACATTTTCCAAGACTGCAAATCCCGTCTTTCCACAAACTGTTTGTATCGTATTTACCGGGGACGGTCGGTAAAAGGCAGAACCGAGTGTAAGTGGAAACAACTGCCTTTATATTAGGTGGAAACCGAAGTGTTCTCGACAACAAAGTTACTTTATGACTGAACGTGCATGTTTTTGTAAGGCTGTTTTGAATTCCATGCTTGTGGCGTGAGAGATCACATGGCGCGTTAGTGCCACGTTAGCTTGCAGCTGTTCAGGCTGTTTTTTGTTTTGTTTTAGGACGTAGCGTTTACATGTAGTGCATATAGTCTATTCAATGGGTTTTCTGTTATGCACTTGTGTCTGCTAACGTGCTAGTGTTTATCCTCAAGTTGTGCATAGGCTATAACTACAGTGCGTAAAAAGCGCAGGACGTAGCGGTTGCCAATGCAACAACGCTGTTTACGGTGGGAGCTACGGTGGTGGCGAAGTCGATAGGGACTTGGCTTGGCAACTGGAAGGTCACCAGTTCACGTCCCGGCAAGACCAAGTGCTACCGAGGTGTCCCTGAGCAAGGCACCGTTCCCTACACTGCTCCCCGGGCGCCGTTCAAAATGGCAGCACACTGCTCCTAACACTAGTCAAATGCAGAGAAACAATTTCCCCACGAGGGATTCATAAAAGTCCATAAAAAATAAATAAAATCTCAAGCAGCCACTGTGAAGTGTGTTGGGATTTGTTTTTCTTTTGTTTTTTAAAACCGTTTTGCTATTAGACTTTGCACAAGTAAGACAGAACAAATAAGGAATGAGCTTTTGCGCATAGACGGATAAAGTCCACAGTTGATTTAGCTCAAATTGAAGACAGGTTTAATCCAGCTAGTTCTCACCAAGTTCACAAACCAGCTAAGCAGTTATTAGTGTGGATGAGAGGGCATTTAACTTAGCAGTATTTTTACAACACTGTAATTGATTAACCGTGTTGTTTAATTCAAAGCTTAATATAATTGTATTTGATAAAGTGGCTCTGTGAACCTTAAAGTCCACAAAGAATATTATAGAGTCTTTGCTGCCTGGAATAACATTATCTCAAACCACCTGTTTAACTATTGTGCATTATATCAAACCTTTTACTTGTACACACTATAAGTACACACTATTTGCATATGTATATTTAATAACTATAAATAAGTTACATATTCTGCAACCATAACATGCTGATTTAGGATATGCATGTGTGTAATGTCATCACTTATTGTATATATAACAATAATTCCAGGCAGGGAAATTATCTATGATTTCATACACAAATACACACAAAAACATACACAATGTAAAAACACATAAAATCACATAAAACAGAACAAATATCTCTCAATTCTTACAACAAGTATTGCAATCAAATCCCTGCTGTATATTCTACGCTCCCTAATGTAATTGTACTGTTGTTTGTTGCCCACTCTAAATTAATTTGGGATAAAAGGACCTTTTGTTAATCTTATCTCTTTGGCAGGAGCATTCTAGAGCGTCACCCTGAGGGGAGCAACCTGTAAATGAAGTTTCATCACAAAACAATATGATTCTAATACATAAAGATTATTTCGAGAACAAATGAAGACATTTGCTGCAGCTATATGATTGGGTCTTGCGATGACAATTTAGTGTGCCCATTCCTTAATCACTGAATCCATTCATCAATCTAGATCCAAGGGTTGTAACACGCTTATCTTTAATGTAACCATGAAGTTCACGCATGTTTTACTGTAAAACTGTTATGAAACAGGTCATAGGATTATACAGATGATAAAATACTTGACTTTGACCTTAACAACACTGCAGCCTCACACCTACTCTCCCTTTAGGACCCTTGACTGACCACAGGGGCCATGGCCTTCCTTGGGAGCGCAGTTCGGAGGGTGGTCTCTGCAGTGCGGCCCCCTCTCTCTCCATTGAGCCGGACAACAGCTCGATCTTACAGCTCAGAGCCCACCTTGGAAAAAAGTGTTCCCTATGAGAAGACACTCAAACAAGAGGTCGGCAAGTCCTCTGGACCAACAAAGCCTTTACCCAAGTAAGCTCAGGGGATAAATAGATAGATTGTGTTAATTAATAATTTGTATTGCTCTTCAAGTATACTTCTTATTAAATTATTACTTCATGGTGGGACGATTAGGCATTAGGAATACGCACATATGAGGGTTTGTGCAATTGATCAATACATAGGACCAGTTGATGTAAGAATAATAGTCATGGTGGCCTCCACAAGGCCTGAACAGATCTCAGGTCTGAAAATGTAGATAGTTTATACAACTTTTAAACTTTTCTTTTAAAATTCAGGCAAGAAAACTACACTTTTAAAGCATAAATCTATATTTTTGGAAATGTTTTTATTTGCTTATTTTGGCAAGACATGACTAGAAGATCGATAACACTGTTGAGTATGAAACTACAGCCATTAGCCAGTTAGCTAAGTGTTAAGACTAGAAGAGGAGTAAACAGGCTAGTGTGGCAAAGTTCCACATAAAACAAGCCGCTGTTTTTACACGTTTTTTCCTTGTTATTTTAAAGGTGCATCTAGGAAGACTTTATGGTCTTTATGCTTACAGTAGCTGAACTAATCAGATTCTTGCTAACTCTTAACATAACAGACAATGTGTTACCCCCAGAAACTTTTCCTCAGCTAAAATGACCTTAAGGTTTGTCACTTGGTTTGATTCAGTGAGTGGTGTGGCTGGCATTGTCCTTGTCCCACTTTTAAAGTCATGTTTTCAGCTCACCTGTAGTTTCCTGCCACCTGCTACAGGTCAGCAGAAGCAGTGGTGATCGGAGGAGGCAGTCTGGGCTGTCAGACCATCTACCACCTGGCTAAGATGGGGATGACCAACGTAGTTCTGCTGGAGAGAGACAGACTGACTTCTGGCACCACCTGGCACACTGCAGGTAACACACTAAGTTCACTGTTACTGTTTAAACCAGTCACTCTTACTCTATACTCGATTTAGAGTATATTTACTCTCCTTACGTCAAGTGCTTAAAGTTGTATGTTCAACTGCAAACTGTACACACATCTTTCTGTCTCTGCTTACTAGGCCTGCTGTGGCAGCTCCGTCCCAGTGATGTTGAGGTGGAGCTCTTAGCCCACACCAGAAATGTGATCAGCAAAGACCTGGAGGAGGAGACAGGCCTCCACACGGGCTGGATCGAGAACGGAGGACTCTTCATTGCCTCCAACAAACAAAGGCTGGACGAGTACAAGCGCCTCATGTCGGTATGTAGTGAGATTGCTTGTCTGGCCACTAATTTGAAAATGCTAAGCTTAGAGGTAAAATATTTAGGGCTGAATAAGCAGAGGTGGAAAAAGTACCCAGATCTTGTACTTGAGTAAAAGTAGGAGTACCAGAGTTTAAGAATACTCTGTTACAAGTAAAAGTCGTCCTGCAATCAAAATGTTACTCAAGTAAAAGTACAAAAGTATGTGCATCCAAATATGCTTAAAGTACCAAAAGTAAAAGTACTCATTATGCAGATTGGCCCATTTCAGCAGAATAATGTATATTATATTGTTCTCAAAGCTGGTAGAGGTACAGCTAGTTTTAATGACTTTGTATACTGCAGGGTAGCTTGTGAATTTACTCCAGGTGGAACTAAAGTCTGATATAAGTGTTATATGTTATATTTCACGTTATATATCCAAATCTGCAAAGTAACTAAAGGTATTCAATACATGTAGTGGAGTACTGTAAAAGTAAACGATTTATTGTAGTGGGGTCGAAGTACAAAGTAGCATAGTATTGAAATACTCAAGTAAGTAGCTCAACATTTTACTTAAGTATCGTACTTGAGTAAATATACTTAGTTACTTCCCACCTCTGAGAATTAGTATAACTTGTGTAACTGGTTTTCATTTGAAACAGCATTTGAAGTACTGCATTATAACTTACCCTCCATGAAGTGTTGCATTCAGAACAACAATTATAATATCATATGAATAAAGAAAATGCAGTTTGCTCACTTAACTTTTTTTCAAGTTGGCAATCAATTATCTGAATATTGCTTTGCACAAATAAGCCATGGTAAGAGATAATATCATTAATGGTCTGCTGAATTTACAACACACTCATACTGTACATAAGAGCAGGGATAAGGCTGTGTTTACCCTGATTGTGTGTGTTTGAGGTTCAAAGTTCACTGGAAACTTCACCTAACCATTGCATGGTGTGAAACAAGGAAAAAGCAGCACACATGTTTTAGATCAACAATCTAATTAATCTCATGCTACTAGTTACTATAACTTAACTCCTCCACCATAGGCCTCTGGAAATGTTATGCAATATGTTCTCATATTATGTAAAATACACGTGATTAAACTGATCATCTCTTAAAAAGAAAATTCATGAACCATGCCATGTCCCCTCGTTTCTAGCTGGGTAAAGTTTATGGTATCGAGTCCCATGTTCTGTCACCGGCGGAGACCAAGGACCTGTACCCTCTGATGAACGTTGATGATCTGTATGGAACCCTGTATGTACCTAAAGATGGCACCATGGACCCAGCAGGCACCTGCACCACCCTGTCCAGAGCGGCCACTGCCAGGGGGGCCACGGTAATGGGCCCTGTTTATAATGCTGTGTACACAAGTTCTATTAATTGATAAATATCTGTATACTAAAGTAGTGATGGGAATTACGGCTCTTTGAAGGGAGCCGGATCTTATGGCTCTGTTCCTTTCCGAGAGCCGTTCAAAAGGGCCGTTTTTTTTTTCAAGGGGATGGGGTTAATAGGTTTATCTGCGAAAGAATCACCAAGATAATGATTGACTGTATTGCCAGAAATCTATTTTTACTCACAGAAAAGGTATAACTTGCTACATGTCTCAGCCAGCCAAACTACTACTCAAGCAACACGCGTTATGCCATCATATATGGCAAATTTGCATTCAGGAAAGCAAGTTCCTTTAAAGGCGAGTGGATTTATGGCAGGCAGACTCGGTTCCCTTCGTTCGTACCAAAGAGCCGTTCAAAAGAATCGGCTCGTTCGCGAACGTCACATCACTATACTAAAGGGAATGTTACTATTTGTAATTGCAGTCTAGTCAAACAAATTAGATATTCTTTGTAAATTGTAGCAGGATTTGAGTTTCAGTTAAGTTTTGCATACTTTTATGTGTGTTTTACATCTTGGTAATTGTTCACATTAGGTCAATCCCAGTAATCTCTCTGCAAATAGCTTGATGATAAATGCTAGAAATAATAATAATTTAATGAGGTGTAACTTTTCTGTTTGGGACATTTTGGTAGATCTTTGTCAAAGTTGGTAAATAATTCTACTTTAGTTCAGCCCGTCTACCTGCCACTCCCGTTTAGCAATCTTTTTTCTTTATAGCACCCTTATCTGAACATGAGAAAGCAGTGTAGAAAGCCATGTCACAATCTTTTGTACAGCTAAACATGTATTGCTCTTTGAACATATTACGTCTTGAATAGCAATGTGTAAATGTAACGAAACACTGTTTTAAACTAATAATAGAGTACAAAATGTAGGTTTAGGCTTTATGTTTACATGTGCATTAGTTAGAGGCAAGCCTTTTAGTGATGAGATTCTAACTTTAAGCTTAAAGGGAGCTACTTGTGGGTACTTCACAATGATAACGCAAACTGCACAGCTTTCCAGGAAATCTCAGATCACATGTACTTTCAGATAACTACTACATGTGTGTATAGCATTTTAAAAGTATTTTACAACCTACAATACTGTAGTAGTTCTAACCTGTAAGAAACGGTGATAATATGAAGCGGACTATGGCAAAATGGAGAAGAGTGATTGATTCAGTAAATTGAACCCCTGCCGCTGTAACTGCAACATTGGATAACATAGAATAGAATTGGGAGGGATGAAACCCTCTTTAATGGTCACACATGCAGAGCACACAGCACACACAGTGACATTTGTTCTCTGCATTTAACCCATCCTAGTACCAGGAGTCTAGTACTACAGTAGGAGCAGTGGGCAGCTGTTGTACAGCGCCATACGTGAATATACGTAGATATTAAAGGGCTCTAATATTAATGTTTCATACAGAAAGTCTCTACACTACAAACAGGGCTTGGTGCAAATCGGATTAATTCATTATCTTTATTGTTTTTCTTTACATCAGGTGATTGAGAACTGCCCTGTGAGTGGTATCCAAGTGCGGACTGATGACCTCGGTGTTAAGAGGGTGAAGGCAGTGGAGACCCCTCATGGGACCATTGAGACATCTTGTGTGGTAAACTGCGCAGGTGAGAATCTGACGCCTAACTATTCATCCAAACTAAAGATTAAAAGCTTTTTGGTTTTATTTGACATGTAAATTAAACATTCTTATGTGTTAATCTACATTTAAAGGGGGCTTTTTCTATTACATGTTTTCTCTCTGTGTGTTATATGCAGGTGTGTGGGCCCCCAAGCTGGGAGAGATGGCTGGAGTAAAGGTTCCTCTTGTTGCGATGCATCATGCCTATGTGGTGACAGAGAGAATTGAAGGCATACAGGTAGGTTCATGATGTACTGTATTATAGTAAGAATAAAACAACCATTAGCACAATGTTCTTTGACACAAAACTTGTTCCACATAAAGTGGGACCAAAAAGTTCAGCAAGTCTGTATTCATGCTTACTTTTATTTAAACTTAGAATCTTCAAAGTGGGTTTTATTAACCAAATGAATTTATACTATGATAATTTGTGTACTTTCATTTTATGGGAGACACTTGTATTAGTATGTTAACCTAGGTGCCTTCTCCTTTTTCCAAAATAAGGCTACTTGGATTTCTCTGACTATTTAATTCCTTGTGGGAGCCGGAATACCTTCTTATGTCTGTATCATGTCAGTATGACCAGCAGGGGGCACTGTGACCTAATATGTTTACACCTGTAATGGTACAGGATGCTTTTAGTGAGTGCTGGAATGAGATGTGTGTGTTTCTATGAGAGGGAAAAGGATAGTGTCTTGTTTGTGTACTTTAATGCTGAAAACGTTTGCCTTGGGGAGGCAGATATACATGATCCACTGTACCTCTGATTGTTGATCTAGTGCATGTTAGTTTTAGTTAGCACACACACACACACACACACACACACACACACACACACACACACACACACACACACACACACACACACACACACACACACACACACACACACACCCTCTAGAGGCCAGTGGTTTTAGGGGGGCTGTCAGAGCTTCTCTGTGTTATGTAGTTTAAGAGCAGCTTAACCAGCATTACTGCTACATCATGTACATACAGACATCAGCCCACACTCACACACCATGCCCTGCCGTCAGAGAATCTGTTCTCATCGGGGTGTCCAACTTGTCAGGTCAAGCATCTCTGTCGACCACATGTCTGTGTGTGACTAGATGAGTTACTGTGGAGGGTTTAAATGTATGTTTTTATCTGTGTGAGTGCATAAAGGACAGTATATTGATCACAACAAGCTGCCTGACTGTAAGCAGCGCTAAAGAGAGGGAAGCAGTTTGGATATTATTACATGTAGAGCTCTCTTTTTAAATGTCAGCTTGGTATTTCGCTTTTGTACCCAGAGAGCCAATTTACTTTGGATTGACAAGCACTCGTGACAAGATAAAAAACAAACAAAGGGTAAAACATACTTAAAGTGTACTAATTCATTAGACACTTCTACAAGAATATGTATTCAGTCTGGAGGAGGATGAATGCTTCCCCCTTTTGAAAGAGGATTTCATGGTGTGTCAGTAGCTGCCATACCATACCTAAAGAAACTCTATGGTTTGTTAAGGCATGTCATGGTATATGGCACTGAGGCATATTTTTACGGTTGTTATGTTGCATATTTTCTACCCTTTCTGTACGTCTCTGTAAAGTACCAAAAATACTAGAAATCCTCAGAGAATTTGGTAAACAGCATGGTAATTATCTTTTTCGTTTCAGCAGATTTTTTGTTTCGGTTTCCTTGTGATAAGCAGTTATGTTGAAATTAGTAGTCCAATTAGTTTGTTGGTTGACAAAGTCATTCAAGAATTTTGGTTCCAATTTTACTATAATTGTAATCCATTACCTGGAAGTATATGCTGTTTTTGTTTTACAGTTTTAGCGGCTATAAAACTAAATATTGAATTTCTTAGATTCTGAAATAATCCCCCTCTTGTTCATGCATATGAATCTTCCCATCATATTGTCATTACATCAGAATATGAATAGATTAATCCATGTTTTAAATGTTTCCAACTTTATCTTTGCTCTGTGCAGAACATGCCGAATGTCAGGGACCATGATGCATCAGTGTACCTGCGCCTCCAAGGTGACGCCCTTTCTGTGGGTGGTTATGAACAGAACCCCGTCTTCTGGGATGAGGTGAGCTTGCATATTATTTCAAATGTTAACCGTATTATATCAATAGCTTTGAGACTTCAGATTGACTGTCTATGTGCGTGATTGAGATTGATGGCACACATTTGTCGGGTTTGACACAAAATCAAATACTTTAATTAGGAAGCTAAATAGGGTTCAATCAATCAATGTTTATTTATATAGCCCAATATCACAAATGTTACATTTGTCTCAGTGGACTTCACAGTTTGTACAGAATATCAGTATGACAATACGACACCCTGTCCTTAGACCCTCACATCGTACAAGGAAAAACTTCCAAAAAAAGAAAAAACCCACAGTTTAAAGGGGAAAATGGGAGAAACCTCAGGGAGAGCAACAGAGGAGGGATCCCTCTCCCAGGACAGACAGACGTGCAATAGATGCCGTGTGTACATCTAAAAGATAATACATTTAAATGTCATGGCTTGGCTCTCAGCCACAACAAACGCGTGACAGAAAACGAGGGCGTGAATAGGAAACAAGAGTGTATTCACTGCTGCTGAAGGACACAAACCGGCGAAACAAACTACGAAACAAGAGGTCAGCTGGTCGTGGCAGCTCTTCGCGCTGCGTCCTCCTGCCAGAGCGAGAGCGAGATCCGGCCCGGTCCTTTATCCAGCTAGCTCCAGCCGCCAGGTGTCCTCAATCCCAGCTGATAGCCCAAAGGGAAAACCTTAAAGGAACATACACACACCAGAGATAACAAGGCAGGGGTCGTCACACCCCGCCCCTTAAAGTCGGTGTCCCCAGGACCACCGGCACACCAACCCTGACAAAACAAAAAAAACACCAGTAATGAACAACAAAAATACCAGACATACGGCACCCCACTTCCAACAAAACCAACAATTGCAACATGCAACCCTCAAACTGCCAGCCGCTCCTCCCACATCTTTAGCAACACAGGTAAGCAACCTGAGAAGCACACTTTAAAAAGGATGGGCAGAGCGAGAACGATTTATCAAACAGTATGACAGACAATACATTACCGTCACGGCCCATGCTTCCTCAGTTGTAGCAGTTAGTTTCACTGGCTTTACTGCAATGCACCGCCACGTGGCCAATGTCGCCACACCTGTAACATTTCACCCTACTGCAACGTCTCTGGATGTGACCAAGCCCACCGCAGGAATAGCACTTCCGGTCGTTGGCATGCCCACAGTCACGAGCCATGTGTCCTTGGTCTCCACACCAATAGCAGGACATTTCCTTGCCTCTTCCTCGACCCCTGTTGCCGCCGCCACGACCACCATCAACGCCGCCACGACCACTTTGACTAGTGGGACAATGCTTGGTCTTCTATTTTCTAAACATGTTTTTGTCCATAGCACGAGTGATCACACCAGAGGGTGTGACGTCTGCCAACACTGTAGAGCTCTCCTCAGACCTTGACTCAATCGGACCGCCAGTCACTAAAAGCACAGGGGGAACATCAGTCCAGACTCTGCTACCTGCCAAACCGTTGCCCAGGATGAACTGTATCCCCTCGATTGGCAAAGCTGGACGTACACCAACAGCCACCTCACCCTTAACAAGACCACAGTCAATATACATCCTATGAACAGGAATAGGAAGAACTTTTAATCCCAGTCCCCTACTCAGAAGGGTGTCACCAGTGTCACTTTCATAAGACAGAGGCAAAACAGAGTCAACAATATAGGAGTCAAAAGCCCCTGTGTCTCGCAAGATTTTGATTGGAACTCTGACATTACTACCTACCAATGACACCAAGCCGTCTCGTATAAATGGAGCATAAGATGCCAAAACCTCAGATCCACCTAAGTGGGATGTAAGCACATCGGCAACACCACTGCTTTCCACAGGCGCAGCCATCGCAACAGGCCCAACAAAATATCTTCCTCCCTCAGATTTTGCTCTAAGCGCAGGACAGTCTGCCTTCCAATGGCCTTTTTCGCAACAGTAGTGGCAAATATCATTATTATCCACCTCAGATTTGACCAAACCCAAGTTCCTTGGCTCTATCCCAAATGAACCAACCTTTCTACTTCCCTCAAAAACAGCCAGGGCCCCAGAGCGCCCTCCGAACCTGCTCTTATGAAGCAACACAAACTCATCAGCTGCCACAGCAGCTTCAGCCGCAGAAGTGACCCTGTGTTCTGTTATGTAAGTAGCAATCTTGTCTGGAAGAATATTTTTTAACTGTTCCAAAGTCATGAGCTCACACAAATCGTCAAAAGTAGTGACGTCAAGAGCAGTTAACCAACGCTTAAAATGAACAGACAAATCCCTCGCCATCTCCACATATGTTTGATCTTATTTTTGCTCAAAGGACCTACAACGCTGTCGATAGGCCTCTGGCACCAGTTCATATGCTCTAAGCACCGCCGATTTTATTTTACTATAGCTAGAGCTATCCTCAAGACATAAGGAGGAATATGCTGACTGCGCTCTCCCTGTGAGAACACACTGAAGCATCAGAGCGCAGTCCGCATCAGGCCAATCTCTAGCCCTAGCGACACGATCAAAAAGCAAAACAAAAGTGTCAGGATCACTTTCATTAAATTGCGGTAACAAGCGCAAGTTGTTAGCATCGAACCGATGAGGAGACCTGGGCACCTGTTCACCGCACCATCTCTGACCATAGAAAGACGTTGTCCTTCCATATCCAGTTTGGCTCTCTCAGTCTCCTGCCGCATCCGCTCCACTGCAATTTCCTTTTCACACTCCATCTCATACCTCATTTTGTCATGACTCAGCTGCAACAATAACATCTCCTTCTGCTGCTCAAACGACAGTGAACTAGCCTGAAAAAGAGGTTTTAACAAAACCCCCTCTTCCTTTGCAGCAAACACTCCTGTCTCACTTAATGTCGACACTATAGAGTCTTTTATGTTGTCTTTCACCCTTCTATCACCGACAATAGACACAGAGAAATGCTCAGCAATTAAGAGCAGCTGCTCTCTTGAGAAAGTGGCAAGAGACTCCTGAGACGGAGCTTCAATAAATGCCTCTACGTCAGCCATCTTAATTTACACCGACCCCTCACCGGAACACAACACCGGACCTTTAAACCGAAAGAAGAGAACAAAAACAAAAACAAAAACCAACCGGACAGATACCACCACGTTTATTATGCGTCCAAAGTGGAACACTCATTTTTTGATTGGAGTTTCCCCACTAACTCACCATCCCACTGACTAATCTCCTCCCTAGTCTTCATGCAGTTACTTGTGGTGGGTATTTATGCACTGGAGACCGCTAATCCAGCAAAGCGACTAGCAAGCTAGCAACACTACTGAGACCACGGCCATGCTCCCAAGCCAAGGCTTCAACCACTTTCTCCGCAACACTACACACCCCGCTCAACGATCCCAAGGGAACCGCCGCTTAACCTGCCAGGGAAAACTCCGCACCGTTCTGCACTGCTCCACATGCAACGCACCAACCAACCCACACAAATCTCACCTATCCGTTGCTGTATCACAGATAAAAAGAAGTGGACGAGCCCCCAGCTGTCATGGCTCTCAGCCACAACAAACGCGCGACAGAAAACGAGGGCGTGAATAGGAAACAATAGTGTATTCACTGCTGCTGAAGGACACAAACCGGCGAAACAAACTACGAAACAAGAGGTCAGCTGGTCGTGGCAGCTCTTCGCGCTGCGTCCTCCTGCCAGAGCGAGAGCGAGATCCGGCCCGGTCCTTTATCCAGCTAGCTCCAGCCGCCAGGTGTCCTCAATCCCAGCTGATAGCCCAAAGGGAAAACCTTAAAGGAACATACACACACCAGAGATAACAAGGAAGGGGTCGTCACAACAACATAGGTAGACCAAATGTTTGGAAATGCACGTGTCTATAGTAAGAAGATGAATCCACAATGATGTCATCAATCCTGTGGGAGCCATCAGGGAAGTAGTATGATGAAAGTCAGGTAGGACCACAGTGATAGGTTCAGCCACGACTCGAAATCTAGGACTCAGATCAGGACTCAGGACTCAGGACTCAGGATCATCAATGACTCCGGATCCCGGCGTATATAGACACCAAAAAGAAATACATTTGGGGAAGCTGGGTTAATCGGAACATGAGAGTACACAGGTACAGACAGAGAGAAGGAAGAAGTAAGGTGTCCCTCGACAAACTAAGCCTATATCAGCAAAACTAGGGGCTGAATCTAATCAGCCCTAACTATAAGCTTTATCAAAAAGGAAGGTCTTAAGCGCACTCTTAAAAACGGATATGGTGTCTGCCGCCCGAACACAAACTGGAAGCTGATTCCACAAAAGTGGAGCTTGATAGGAAAAGGCTCTGGCTCCCATTGTACTTTTAGAGACTCTAGGAACAACCAACAACCCTGCATTCTTGGAACGCAATGCCCTAGTAGGACAGTAGGGTATAATGAGTTCTTTAAGGTAAGATGGCGCCTGCCCATTAAGGGCTTTGTAGGCGAGAAGAATAATTTTAAATTATATCCTGTGTTCTATAGGGAGCCAGTGTAAGGTAGCCAGAACAGGAGTAATGTGGTCCCTTTTCCTAACTCTGGTTAGTACACGAGCTGCAGCATTTTGAATCAGCTGAAGCGACTTGACTGACTTCTTGGTACACCCTGATAATAAAGAGTTACAATAATCCAGCCTTGAAGTAACAAATGCATGGACTAGTTTGACTGGTTAAATCCCTTTTTACACTTTGACAGTTTAACATAATCTTTTTAAGTCTGTTATTCGTTCTGTCTTCATCAGCCGCTGCTGTAATAGCTTTGAGATCAAGCTGTATTATAACATGACTCATAAACTGTGAGGGTTAGTTCACTATAATCTACCAGTGGTTAAGAGAAGAAATACATTTCCATTATTTCAATATCATAGTATCATGAAAAAGTATTACTCGATTTCAAGTAAAAGTCCTGCATTAAAATGGTTTCTGAAATATATTTTTAAAAAGTGTTGCCGCCAAATGTAAATAAAAGAAAATGTGTCACATTTTTGGAAATGAGCTTTGCTTTCTTGCCAATAAATGGATACAAATATTGATACTGCTCATCTCTGTAGCATGGAGGCTAGTTAAGCTTCAAGACGGGAAGTAAGGGCAGCTAGCCTTGCTCGCGTTTAAGTAATCTATAAAGCTCACTAAGAGAACAATAGTTCCCCTTTTGGTGTAATCAAATTTCAAAAACTGAAATGTAAAAGTCATGTTGTGGTTTTTTCATTGAGAATATGTTTCTCTGTGTTTCCAGTTTTTGCTCTAAGCTAACTGACTTCTTGTTTGAGCTTCATATTTGGAATACAAACATATGAGCTTTATTGATTTTCTCATCTGACTCTTGGCAAAAAGGTGTATAAGCGTGATTCATATTTTAAAGTATGTAGCTCAACAAGGGGAAACCGCTAGCTACCTTGCCCTTAACCAAAGTAAAAATATGCCTACTTAGTTAAAAGCTGACTTATTTAAACAATGTATCTCATTTGGTTGGATGACACATGAAAAGCAAAGTGACAATGAAAATGTGTGGTTTGTAGTGGGAGTTGTGTGCTGGAAAAAGAATATCAAACTTGTATTTGTGAATAAAAATTATTACGCAGAAAGAGTGCAAGTTTGCTAAGTACTACACATTACCTGGCAGTGCATTCAGACAAGGTTGTTATGCCGAATAGAAAAGGATGCATAAGGTTTTTTGTTCAGCACTAATGACAGCCTAATGGGTTCTGTGTTTTTGGAAGGCACTGTGAGGGCTTGTTATCAAATTTGCATTAGAAAAGCTTTTATACAAAAGGGTTTTTATAGAAAGATACTTGGCAAGGTAAGCTATCAAAAAAGTATTGTTGTCATTCATGTCGAAACACCAGATATCTCATTTTGAATAGGCGGATTGAGGAGCATAACACATCCTCCCAAGGAGATGCACCCATTGATTTTAATGACCCAGTAGCTGTTATTTTTTAGCTACACCAACAAACCTCTTAATCTTAGCTCCACTAATGGTGACATGGCTTTTTATTGGAACATAAAAACCAAAGCATTTATGTCAAAGACTGAAATCTCAAAAGGCTGTGAAGATTATTCCAAAAACTCTAAAATGTGATTGTTCAGGCAGTTCTTTTATCCACAGAATGAATGTTTCAAGGGGTCGTTTAAAACGACAGATAGTTTTGGGTTTTATGGATGTGTACTTGGTCTCAAGGACAGATTTTTAGAGCAGTTTTTTAACTAGGCTGGCAGCTTTGGTGGCTGGCATCTCCTGGTATCCAACAATTATACATATTCCCTTAATTGAATGCTGTAAATGCTCAAGTAATCTTAAAATGCAATTAAATTAAGGGCCCATACCATTCATAAGTAATGATTACTACCTATTTAACCTGTTCATTGTTAATAATCAGCCATGTCAGTAACTGCAATTCAATATATATTGGATTATATATTTAAACATTTGAATTTAAATATTTATCAGCTCCAAAAAGTAAAAACTACAAGGGCCCTCGGAGAGAACAGACCTTCGTCAATTCCTTTACATAAGATCAATATTTGAGTTTCCACCCCTTGATTCAGATTTGATCCAAAGTTAAATGAATTCTTCCTCGACCCATGCTTCACTCTTTCACTAACTGAAAGTTGTTTTCCATAATCCGGCTGACAAACACAACAAACCAAATTTAAATTCATAATATCCTGAGCAGAGGTAAATATGTTGTCTCGGTTTTTCTAAAAGGCACCAGACGGGGTTTTTGCGGGACACTAATAACACTGACTTTATGACTTTCCGCCTTTCCGCCTGGCTGTCTACAGACTCCTCAGTGCTTTTTACATTTTAGAGGATTTCTTTGTGCAGTAGCAGCTCCTTTTGTTCTCGTTCTGCAGCTGAGCGTTACTTTGATGTCTTGAGGTGAATGGAGGAAGAAAGAGGAGATACAGAAAGGAGAATTAGCGGGGAGACAGAGAGAATAGAGAAAGCCTTCTGAGTGAAGATGAGCAGGATCGATGGCTTGGGAGGCATTGAGAGAAGTGTGGTGTCTAGGACAAATAACGCTGCTCCTTAGATACTCTGCTTGAGTGTCAGTCCTTGGTAATAATGCAGAAATTCTTTGTTCACATGAAAGCAGCTACTGTCATCCCTGTGACATTTAAGTCTTAATCAGAACTGAAAGTGAACGCGCTGACGCTAATTGTAAAGCCATAGGAAGTGTTTTCTTGCTCTACCTTCCTGTCTAGCTCCTGACTTAAGGTTCACTTATATTTAACAGTGTAAGTTGCTGTTATTTGGTATGATATGTCAGCAATGTCTCAGAAAGCAGTCACCCTCTGAAAGTAAAAGCTGAATGACTGAAATTCCAGTGCAGAGGTACTCGGATCATTGCCAGTGTACATGAAGATATGCATGACTGATCAAATCATTGCAAATAGCATGAGCTGATGTGCTGGAATTTTATTTTGTACACCCTAAATCAGTCAGATTAGTGTAGGAGGGGAACATTTGAAGGCGAGGCGGTCATCACTGCCCAGTATGAGATGTAAAAGCATTTGAGCCAGGCTGAAGGAGGTGAAGTCCAGATGGGAGTAAATGAACGCTTGGACAGGAAATAGAGAGGGGTTCGACATATTTATATTCCCTGGTGGGAAAGAGTCGATTCAACAGATGCTACAGGACTGTGCTGACTTACTCACACAGTCGGTGGTCTACAGGCTTATGCTGTCACAGTGTTCTTGTCACCAGTGATGAGGAAGAAAAAGGGAAGAGCACATCTTGATGACATTGGCTTCATGGTGATGCACCAACATTACACATCCAACCATCCACTGCGGTAGAGCAGAATCATGTTGTGTGGAAATAAATCAAACAGCTAGACCTGAGTATTTTGTTTATATATTTTTTAAATGGACCTAATCAAAATGTCTATAATGTCGATGTTCCAAATAACAATATGAGATGGAGTTCACCCCTAGTTATGGACCTACAGGGAAAGGTGGAGACCCGTCAGTGTTTACTACTTGTTTACTGCTGCCCCCAAGTGGCCAAACAAATCAGTTATTCCAGCCTGGACTATATCTGTTATTTTTTAGTCAAATCTGAAGAGAAAATGCACAAATACACAATCTTCTACACATGCACTCAGTAATCAACCTGTGAGTGCTCAATCAGTTGCTCATTTACATTTTCAAAAAATTGATCTCTTGATCTTTCTTGATGGAAGATTCACCCCTTTGCTGGAGCACCTGTTTCTGAAGATCACTGTGTTCCTGCAGAATGTCATTAACTTGAACAGTGATTCTTAGAAAAACATCCAAAGATGGCCAGAATTAGAAAACTAAGTCCTCACGTACATTACTGCTGTTTTATTTCCCAGGTGTCCGATAACTTTGTCTTCAGCCTGTTTGACCTGGACTGGGATGTATTCACGCAACATATTGAGGGTGCCATCAACAGAGTTCCTGCTCTGGAGCAGACTGGCATCAAGTCCACCGTCTGTGGACCAGGTACTAGCACACACACAGACACACACAGATACACACAGTATTTCCACAAAATCATCATTTTTTATTAAAAATCCTGCATGCACATTTTCTAACAGTAAGTTTTAAAACCAGGATCAAGCAACCTTCAATGGTTAAATTAGACGCATTCAAATGAATAGAATGTGTACATCTGTGGAATACCTTATGCACCGCTGTACTGTATTTGCTCATGAATATATAACCTAGCAGGCTATGAATGTTTGTAGAGGAGCCTGAGTTTTTATCCAGGCAATATCAGGTTTCGATAGTGGTTGAGTAAGCCAATCTGTGGCTAGCCTGAATAGTTTCAGTATCGAATTGGGTTTTTCATCATCATAGTGTGATGCAGCTGTTTTCGAGAGACAAAATTACAACCAAAGGATGAATGACCAGAAAAAGAAAAGACAATTGAAAACATTAATGCATACTTAAAGGTGGGGTAGGTAATTTTGGAGAAACCAGCTCGAGTGCGCTAGAATTTGAAAATACACAGCCGGAAAAAATCTGCCACTTCCTTACAGAGCCCCTCCTCCAACACACACGAACGTGCACATGACCAATGAGGGCACGAGATAAGTTTGTGCACAGATGGAAGGCTGACAGGCAGGTAGGCCATCCAGTTACTTTAGCCGGGCCGGCTCAAATGATTGGTTGTACTTTTTACAGTACTACGGCTTCCACAGATGACATGTTTGTATGGATTTTTTGTCAAAGCATTTAAGATATTCATTGCTATCGGGATGTTAAGAGCATTCCATGGAATATAACAACAAGTGTATCTCGAGCCGTTTCTCAAACTTACCTACCCCACCTTTAAAGGAATAGAAAAACATAAGAAGAGGAGAGGGGAGAGTTGAAAATGTAGTGAGTGGCGAGAAAAACAGAAGTCAAGGGGGAGAGAGCTCCGATGAAAGAGAAACAAAAATGATGGATTTTATCAAAGTTGTTGCATGCAGAGCATCTCCTTGGCAGTGACCCTCGCTTTGAGGCCGGCTTTTGTTTCATTTGAAGTTTTGAATAATAATAGTGCGCTTTCTTCAAATCCTGCATTGATATTGAGTCATTAGGTCACATGATATGAAAGCTATCTAATAAAGAAGTAGCTGAAATGTTATTAAAATATTCATATAAAATAGGAAAACCCTATGCTATTGAAAAGATCGAATATTAAGCAAATTACATGGTAGCTATTTAAAAAACTAAAATGATCTTCTATTAAAACTTTTATGTAAAATCAATAGATGACACATCTATGTAATGATGTGATGAAATAGGACAGTCTTTCTGCTGACATAAACAAATCCCAACTATTAAACTTATAGCACAGGAAAGACTTTAGGGACCTGGACAAAACTGTATCGCTGTCACTCATCTTTTACACATAGTAGAAAAATGTGTCATATGTGGTCAAATTTGTCAACTTTCATGAACCAACTTTCATACAAAGTTTTTCTTGCTTCCTTCTGTTTTCAGAGTCATTCACAGCTGACCATAAGCCTCTGATGGGAGAGGCCCCGGAGGTCAGAGGGTTCTTCTTGGGCTGTGGCTTCAACAGCGCTGGTAAGTGCTAAGGGGATGGAAAAATCAAACACAGAACAGGGGAAGATTGTTAAGTAGAGAAAAGAAAGCGAAGGGAGAAAAAGAGCGTACTTATATCTCCAATACACAGTTGTAAACAAACGATAGATACTATATGACTGACACTTTCAAATACGTAGTGTGTAAAGCTTTTCCTTAAGGGAACCATGAAATGATAGAGATAGAAAGGTCGAAGCAATCATCAGTACTTGGCAATATAAGCAGGGAGGAAAACAAGCAAGGAGAAGCGGCCGAAGAGTGTTTTCACCCATACTTTGACCCAGCCTTCACCAATCTCTGTGCACACTCTCAAGGCACAAATGAATAATGTAGAGAGCATACCTTTGACAGTACCTGGGGGAGGAATGCAAGTCTCTCAGATATCTGAATACCAGAGAGAGAGAGGGGGTGTAAAGGGTAAAGTAATCGCCATCAGTGCTAACAGTCGTTTGAGAAAAAGCTTAGTAGCTAAAGATCCCAGGGTCGAGAGGTGGAGCGCTAATGAGCGAGCATACAGTCGTTTTTACACTCACGCATAACAGAGAGACCATTGTTTTTTGCTTCAGAAGTGTCGTTTTCTTTCTACGTTTCATGCAAACTGCTGATGGATCCCTGCTGCTGTTGAAAAGCTCCTCGTTTGCTCTCTTATTCCCTTACCACTTATCTATGAGACACTCGTTCTGTCCATTAGCCTGATCGTAGGTCAGTTAGCAACTTGTTATCCATTGTCAGGTTAACCAGGGCGCACACACTGCGTTCCCTGAGCCGCTGGTTCCAATAACTCTATTCATTAGATTGCATAAGGTTTTTACATAGGATTGGAATAAGGTGATTTAAGCAATTAGTTTATTATGAGATCATTAATCATCAAGGACATTATGGTACATTTCTGTAACTGATTTGTTGTTTAAGTCCAGACAAAACAAGTGATTGACTTCAGATTGGGCTTTTGGGAATTGTATTCGGAATATCTTTGGTCAAAATGAATAAATAAATACCTTTTTCCTTTTTCACATGTGTTAATAATAGCCTTTATTTCAACATTTAGAAATAAGAATAGAAAGGGATAACAAACAATAAAAGTCCCAAGGTCAGAATCGAACATGGACATTCAACCCTCCTTGTAAATCTTTATTTTATTTCTACTTGACGCAAATACAAATGTCACATTCCTATCTGAATCCAGGTTGATCAAATATTGCATTCCCCTTGTCCTCTGGCTTTGATGTGCCAAGCTTTCACCAGGCTCATTGAAATGGGCCCAGCGTCCCCCAGCTATCACACCATCGGTAACGGTGACTTTATTCTAATAAGGAATTTCTTCCTGCCATGCACAGCAAAGGTATTCTAAATGCCTTTCACTTGCCTGACACACACATATCTGCATTCAGCATTCAAAAACACAACAAAACATCAGAGTCCGATCAAAGCAGGAGCTCAAAAACGTCCATTTACCCTTCTCACTTTAATGTCTTTCTTTTCCCTCTGCGCCCCTTTGTCCTCTCTCTATTACATCCATCACAGAATAACGTTTAAAGCCTCCAGTTGTTTCGGCTATCTTGGTGTTCATTTTAGTTTCCAAGCAATCAGTAACTCTACGTACTGCAAGTTATTTTTGTTACCTGACAACATTAAGTTAGTTAATTTATGTGTCACAACAACCATCCTGAACTTTTAGTTACTTATTTATTTTCATTATGATTCTTTAATTGCCTTGAATTGCTGAACCTCTTACATGTATTACCAAGTTGCTTATAGTCACCTTTATAGTCATTATGGCAAGCAGAGTTAATTTACAGGTCTGGTTGCTTCTTGATTTTACTTTACAGGTTACACAAATGAGATAGATTGTGTAAAAAGTTGTCTTTACAGATGCTGGTATTAAACGTTTGACATAACCTTACTAGCAATCTTTATGCTAACAAATCCTCCAAGGTGTTGGAATGTCTGACCGACAACTCATAAAAACGTAAAGATTGAAATCAAATGTATTACTCTATTGGGATGGTGAGCCACTATGGCAGAGAAGGATAAATACAATTTGGCATCTCTGCTTTGTCTTCAAAAGCATTGTTTTAATCACTAGCGGCATCACTTTAAATGTCAGAAGAGAGCAACTATCTAAAAAGAATCTGAGGGCAATACAGAAGAGCGGAGAAGGGGTGATATATAATGACATGGAAAGGAACAAATGTTTGCGCAGCATAAACGAACAATCATAGAGCGAGATAGCGATAGCGGGGAAGCAGACAGAGAGTACAAAGGCAGGAAGGAGGGATGATGAGATGAGTGGAAGCACCAGTGTAAGGGTTCACACGCAGATCCACGTTCACACATCACCCTACCGCCTTCCTCCTCCCTCCATCCCTCTTCCTCCCTCTCCACCATTCAAACATCCACCCCGGCTTGGCCCGGAGTGACAGTGTCCGCAGATGAGTGAAGCGATGAGAGATAAAGGGAGAGGGCCTGCTGTGAGAGATGGAGATGGAGATGGGGGTGAAGGAGGGATGCAAGGACACACTTGTGTGTGTGTGTGTGTGTGTGTGTGTGTGTGTGTGTGTGTGTGTGTGTGTGTGTGTGTGTGGTGTGTGTGTGTGTGTGTGTGTGTGTGTGTGTGTGTGTGTGTGTGTGTGTGTGTGTGTGTGTGTGTGTGTGTGTGTGTGTGTGTGTGTGTGTGTGTGTGACCTAGCATTACTATACTTGTGGGGACCTAAATCTGTTTACACAGTCACGTATGGGGACTCGCCTCCCTTATGGGGACAAATTGGAGGTCCCCATAAGGGGAATCATTAATTTTAGGGTGAAGACTTGGTTAGGATTAGGGTTAGGCATGTTATGGTTAAGGTTAGGATAAGTCTCCAGGAAATGCATGTACGTCAACGTAATGTCCCCTGAAGTGATGTGTGTGTGTGTGTGTGTGTGTGTGTGTGTGTGTGTGTGTGTGTGTGACCTAGCATTACTATACTTGTGGGGACCTAAATCTGTTTACACAGTCACGTATGGGGACTCGCCTCCCTTATGGGGACAAATTGGAGGTCCCCATAAGGGGAATCATTAATTTTAGGGTGAAGACTTGGTTAGGATTAGGGTTAGGCATGTTATGGTTAAGGTTAGGATAAGTCTCCAGGAAATGCATGTACGTCAACGTAATGTCCCCTGAAGTGATGTGTGTGTGTGTGTGTGTGTGTGTGTGTGTGTGTGTGTGACCTAGCATTACTATACTTGTGGGGACCTAAATCTGTTTACACATTCACGTATGGGGACTCGCCTCCCTTATGGGGACAAATTGGAGGTCCCCATGAGGGGAATCATTAATTTTAGGGTGAAGACTTGGTTAGGATTAGGGTTAGGCATGCTATGGTTAAGGTTAGGATAAGTCTCCAGGAAATGCATGTACGTCAATGTAATGTCCCCTGAAGTGGTGTGTGTGTGTGTGTGTGTGTGTGTGTGTGTGTGTGTGTGTGTGTGTGTGTGTGTGTGTGTGTGTGTGTGTGTGTGTGTGTGTGTGTGTGTGTGTGTGTGTGTGTGTGTGTGTGTGTGTGTGTGTGTGTGTGTGTGTGTGTGTGTGTGTGTGTGTGTGTGTGTGTGTGTGCGCCAGCCAACACACAATGTATGCAGATGACCAGCAACACAAGAAGGGGGTTGCTGGAAGAATGCGGCTCATTAACCCAGCTGTTTTCGGAACAGACGGATAAAATATTGAATTGTCAGATTGTGTTTGTGTATCGGGTTAAAAAAAAACAGCATACTTCAACTGATGAGGTCAGATTGCTCAGAGGCGAGGGTCAAATCACTGAACAAAGGTCAAAACTATCCTCCTGTATGTCGGATGACCTATAGAGGCTGTTACAGAGGAAAACATTTATTCTCTTTTCCAAACTAATGAGACATACTCACAGCCCTCCAGGCAGGCGGACAGTGAGAGGTCCTTTATGTTGTTCACATCTTGTTTTCTAACCAGTAATCTGTGACAATTGGATGCAATTTGGGTATAGATTTTGAAACCAACAATCATTTTCATTAGCAGTTATTTTTCTCTATTCGTCTGATATTTCATCGACTAAACAATTATTTCAATACAGATAAATGGATAGCTAGAAGAGTTGAGAAGTTCTAATGAGTCCGATTGTGTTTGTGAGCTTTAAGTCGTAATGTGGAAACAACATTGATGCTTCAAAGAAGATGTGTTGTATGTTATTCCTCAAAGCGTTCAAAAACTTGTTTATAGTAATATGATAACTCTTTATAAATCGCTTTTCATGCCTTGATGAGGCGTTCACATGAATTGACCCAGTAGAGGAACAACATTTCCAGTTATTTCAACAACACATTCAACCTAAGTTTCAGGGCCATTATTTTTTTCATTGAATCCTGCCGATAAAAGAAGCAGACAGACAAATGGAGACGAAAACACACCATCCTTGGTGAAGGTCATGAATATTATTATTGTTTATTAGTGCCCTAATCCAAAACCAAAGACATTCAATCAAATCCTCACTTTTAAATATTAGATAAAGCTAAATTGCCCTTTTTTTGCTTAATTGAATCGCTTAAGTTATGAAATGTTTTATATAAGGAACTGAAAATGACTTCTGTGTTGTCATTTCTTTCCCTTTTGTATTTGTTTCTGTCAGGCATGATGCTGGGAGGTGGTTGTGGACGAGAGCTGGCTCACTGGATCATACATGGCCGCCCTCAGAAGGATATGTACGGTTATGACATCAGGTACATCCAGTAGGCATTAGTATCATTTATAATGTGGGCTGCACCCTGTGTATTTTGTTAAGGGCACTCTCTTCGCCACTAAAGGATGGAGAGAGAGAGGGGGTGGCAGGTTAACCCTTTTGAAAATGTTGCTAATAATGTGAATGACACCTCCCCTTGTATCACCTGCGAGGTACATCAAATGCACACTAAGCCTGTATAAAAACAAACAGTGATCAAAGTAAGTTTCATACAGATGGCGCCACCCTACAAAGCAGAAACATGCTTTTAATAATCAGCTTAGCATTCTAGCAAAGGACAGCAGGAACCAGAATAAAAACGTTTTAATGAAATTGGAATGCGTGTCACTTCTAATGAGCGTTTATCTTTTGAATTCGCCTCCCTCCTGTCTCAGACGTTTCCATAACTCGCTGACAGACAACCCAAAGTGGATCAGAGAGAGGAGCCACGAGTCGTACGCTAAAAACTACTCTGTGGTGTTCCCGTTTGATGAGCCGCTGGCCAGCCGCAACATGAGGAAGGATCCTTTTCATCAGGTACATGAACGCCTCAGGGGTGTGTATTGAAGAGTTCAAGGAAACATCCGGTTGTGTGTGTTTCCTTGTGCGATTTAATCAAGCTGCTTTCAACTGTGGTTTGATGAGTCATTTAAGTTGAGTCACCTTGGGTTTGAAAGCAACATGTTATAAATCAGGGGTACTCAAACTTTTTTATTAAAGGTCCACTTGTGAATTTTATACTAGGTCACTGGTCCGGATCAATGCCAGTAAAGTCCCCAAAAATGCAAAAAAGGCATTAGAAGCATTAGAAAGTCAAGGTAAACTTGCGGTTAACTTGCAGTCTGCAATGCGTGTCACGCTCGCGCACACAAGTAAATATATATGCACGTTTATTCTCACAACACAAGAAAATATACATTAATTTACATCAGGATCAGAAAGTTTTTTTTAATTTTGTATAATTTTGTATTTTTGATATAATGGGACACAGGGTTCGGTCCGGATTGATTTGTAGTTCGGTCCGGAGTTAGAGAAGCCCTGTTATAAATGATGCAAAAAAGGGGTAATCTAACATTGTCTGCCAACAGACAATACTGAACACTCAATAACTCCACTTTGTCTGTCCCTGTTATATTTGTAGACTGTTGTTTTTGTATTTATTTATATTGTGACTACACACAGTATTCAGTTTGTGTCTTTATTGGAAGAGTATCATTAGTCACACATTTTTATTTTATCTCTTATTCTGGCTTATTTCCCCCGAGATGTTACAAAACCATATTCATAAATAATGTTCCTCCATCTGGTAAACATTAAGTATAACCATGGCTCTATTCTAACACTTTCAGTTAGGTAAGCAGGGCTTTGACTTTCTGCGTAAAAGTGTAGGCAGAGCTGTGAATCTTTCAGGATTTAGACCTTTTGGCTTGAACATAGCTGAGGGGGAATCTTTCTGGACCCATATTGACTAGGTTTCCTAACATAGATGAAACCTGCTTCACTCTCTAAGTCGCAGGAGCTTCTCTGCTGCCATATAACCTTCCTGGCATCTTCAATCTCTTCCTATATTTTTAGAGGTTGCATGACTCACCTCTTTTTCTCGTTTTCTTCTCAAGCCATTTATTCCTCTCTCTTTCCCCCATGCATCTACCCACGGCCTTCAATTTTATTTCTCTCTGGTATTCTCTTTTTGACGTCCTCCAAAATCAGTTTTCTCTCCTATTCATCCTTCTATTCAGACTTAATGTCTGCTTCTCCCTCTCTCTCCTCTGGGATCGCCACTGTCTTTGTTCACGCTCCAATTTGTTTTTATGTGCGAGAAAAGAAGCGGTTACGGCATTTCTCTCCCTCTTCTGACCTCTTTAACCGCAGCATCTGATTGGATAATTGAGACGGTAATGAGGCAAAATCAATATAGTAACAATGCCACTGAACCCCAGGTTCTGCAGGCTTCAACAGTGCAGAGAACACATTGAATTGAGTTCATTTCAGCTGCAAATAGGATTGTAGAACAAACTGAATATACACTTTCATGTCTCTATCCTTTAATATTTTGCCAAGCTCGTCTTGAAGCACTGTTGATGTAAGTGTTAAAAAGATATCATCTGTCAAACTGTGACCCCTTCTCGCTCATTACTCTCTGTATGTTTATATGTCTCTCTCCTCCTGTCTTCTCTGCTCAAATCTGGAGGCAAAAAGCTGATTAATAACTCATTCACACCAACAGTGTTTCAGGGCCGGTTCGGAGCTGGAGCTTGAAAAGCACCGGGTTTTCCTGTTCACACCGCAGCGGAACAGCCTCTTAGCTCCGGAATCCGGTTCGTTTCGAGCACCAAAAAATTGTCCGGCTAGAGCAAAAGCACCGCATACTTCATGCTTACATCGAGGCGGGGGCAGGGGTGGGATCAACTCCTGAACAACAACAACAAGGCTGCGTTTTATCCAGTTTGGCTGTGTGAAAAGAGCCGGAGCCAAACCGAAGAACCGGTTCTGAACCTGAAAAGCTCTAGCACGGCGCTTGAACCGGAGTTGCGTTGGTGTGAATGAGGTATCAAACTCTGGCAGACAGCAGTTAGCAGTGTAACTTACCCCCTGCAGCTACACTTATTAATGCCATCCTTGCCAACATGAGTAGTATAAATGAGACACTTAGCTTCGGTTACCGGTTCTCGGATGTCTTTCTGCTTCCTTTCTCTCCTTAGCCAGACACAAACTCCTAATGGGCCTCGCCACCATATTTTATGCATTAATGACCCACATACCCTTGCTCTCCTATTCCAGACTTCATTTACCTTTTAACTGTTGCGATTTTCACCCCCGCTTACGCATGAGGGCATTCTTTCAGAGAGGATTACTGTCAAACAAATTGCATTAGTGATGCTGTCAATGTGTTTTGTAGATCATTGCTTTCTTTACAGCTTGTTTTATTAAGCTTCTCCGACACCTTTCATGCATAATCAACCAGATTTCCCAGAAGGTTCTTTAAGATGTTGTACAGAATGAGCACTAACATTACGTGATGTTGATTTTTATTTAAATGTTTTTCAGTAAGTAGATTGTGGATTCATAACAAGTGTTTGAATGTACTTCTGTTTTAGATTCATAACTGTCTGCTTTATTTTTTGAACTGATTTTAAAAACACATGTTGTACTTCAAAATGATGGACTTAATTTGCATGATTGACAGCTCACAAGAACTTGAGTTAAAACCATAGGTTAAAACAGATGTGCTGCTTTTTATTAGAAAGCCTTACTTGCAGCATAATCCAAGTATTGCTGTCAAGGTCATTTTGTATCCCCTGTCTTTTCCAAAAGAGAGTATCACCTGTCCTGAGAGAATCACACCATTGACGTATGACGCGCGTGCAGGCAGCAATAGAAATACGTAAAAGATGTACCGTGGCCAGAGTTTGCTTCTGTGTTCCACTGCAGTGCAAACTTAATCATTACAAATATTTGTAGGCCACATTTAATTGGTGATTTCCATTTCCAATAGCATTTGAAGATACTTTTTAACATAACAATTGGTTAACACTTCAAATGCTCAACAGGTTGTCAGCATGCAGTGTTATTTACAGGCATATCTTCCATCCTGTTGTACAACACTGTATCAGTATGACTCAATTTATCACTATTACAGATCCCTCTAGCCATAACAAGTGCCGGATCAGGTATTATCATGTTATGTTCAGTATAATTATGACATCAGATCTTATGCTAGCCGGCTACAGTACAGAGCACTGAAAGGACACAAATAGTCGCTCTCAGGTAGACGGACTGTTGCTTGAAAGAGAGCACGCTCCCTGTGAGAGTGGGTTGGTCCAACCCTAGGCTGCCAGCCCATTAGACCCCTGCTAATCACTCGTCGAGGGCCATCACCTAGCAACTAGCCTTCCTGCTGTCGGAGTGCCTCAGATAAATGCAAGGGTGGCTGAGTAACTCAGAAAAAAAACACAAGAAGTCTAATTATTATTTTTTAAATGAGCTTTTTGTTAAAGATACTCGCTCTTGCTCCTCATCACGGCGTCATGTATTATAGCTAAGAGCTACTTAAGGAGTTTGATCTGCCAAGGGAGCTGTGCAAATAATGAGACTGTCTGCTTTTAGGAGGCAATTCGAGATTATTTCAGAGCACAAACAGGCCAGCTCTGACACTGCTGCTTCCACGTTTTCTCCACCTCGGTAGCACAGAGGGTAATTATAGCTCGGTGTGGGAAGTTTTGGCAAAAGACAGCTAGCTGCCTGCTAGGAGGAGAGCATAGCGGTACATACCTGTGGGCGACTGTCAATTTTAACAAGGACGATGGGGAGCGCGGAAATATCTTGTTTTAACACTGGTCAAGAAATCAAGGATTAACAAGTGTACTATATTTGTTGTGTTGTACTCAGTTAAAAGCTGCACTTCCTCATCATCATTGATTGTATATATTTGTATCTTAAAGGTCCCCTATTGTACTGTTTTTCATCAATATATTATAGGTCTCAGATATATACAAAACATGTCTCTGAAGTGTTTGGCTCCAAATACCAAACAGATCATTGCAGCATCCCATAATCCCCTCTGTTTCAGCCCTGTTTCAAAAGTGCTGATTCTGTGTCTGTTACTTTAGATGAAAATAAGGAGCCCCTCCCCACGCCCCTCTGCGTGATATTTGGTTAAAAAGAACACAATGGTGCTCTAGGAGGAGATTCAGGTGATCAGGTGGGCGGGGGTACCTTGGTTGGTTATTGGCTAAAAAATCGTTCTGACATCATAAAGTGGCCAAAATCGGATCAGCTCGTTTTCAGACAGGTTTTTATATAAATGGATCAGGAGAAAAAGAGAGCTAATATTTGTTCCTGAAACTTTCAGAATCTCTTTACACAGAGGGGACAACATGTTTATGTATAAAAGACATGAAAAAGTGGATTTTGCATAATAGGTGACCTGTAACATGGGATAAAATCAGTATGCGTAATGTGAAGGGTTGTAGTGATTGAACTTTGAGTGCCTTTCAGCCCTATGGAGCGTTTTAGTGTCCTTCAGCTAAATGTTTTGGATCAATGTTACTCGTCGGTTATGTACTGATTCCCGATTTGTTAACGGTTGTATATATCTCAGCTGCATGTACTGATTTGAAGTCTTTGTATGTGTGTGTTGTTGTTTGTCCTAGGTGCTGACGGAGCAGGGCTGTGTGTTCCAGGAGAGGCACGGCTGGGAGAGACCTGGCTGGTTCAACAAAGATGGGGCCGCTCCTGTGAGACACTTTCACTGCACTCATTTATTGTACACAAGCATGTGCACGCTAATGATTTATTCACATCTGTGTATTGACATAGGCAGTTGGAGAAACATAAACAATTAAGATGCAAATTCTCCCACAAGGCTTGCCAAAAACGGACAACAAGGAAACAGAATCTGGCTCACTGCTTTGTCCTCTGCTCACATGGAAGCACGGATGATTAATTAGCCTGTAACTGCTTGTTTGTCTGTTTCGAAGGTTAAAGACTACGATTACTATGGGGCTTATGACGTTAAGAAGAATGAAAACTACAAATACAACGAGTTGCTGGGCAAAGAGTATACCTTTGACTTCCCTCCTCATCATGAAGTGGTAAGATATCAAGCGTAAATGTGTAAAGATGTGTGTGATTCATAGAGTAATGTTTTTTGATTACATGCCGCTTCCTTTTTTGATAAACGTGAATGGGTCAAAAAAGAAACTCATGGTCGCCAGATGAGTGTGAAGGCTCCCGTGAGAAAAGGGCACATGTGTCCTCATGGGAAACAATCATGACAGTGACGAGAGAACAGTCAGAAAGGTTATTGGTGCATCAAGTACAAACAAACACATCAGCACCACTCTGTTTTTCATTTAAAATTACAGTTGTATGACATTTTCCTTCAAGGATCTAGCTTTAAAAATCTTTAAAAAGTCACGGACTGTTGATTAAATGTGTGTTGGGATTTTTCTTTTATGATTGCAGATTAAGAGTGAGTGCCTCACGTGCAGAAATGGCGTGGTGGTGTTCGACATGTCCTACTTTGGAAAGTTCTATCTGACTGGACCAGATGCCAAGAAGGCAGCTGATTGGCTGTTCACGGCTGATGTCAACAAGAAGTCGGGTCAGTGTGCTGCAACGAGAACACACACACACACACACACACACACACACACACACACACACACACACACACACACACACACACACACACACACACACACACACACACACACACACACACACACACACACACACACACACACACACACACACACACACACACACACAGACAGATGGGCGAAAGATTGACAGAATAAAAAGGGCAAATTCATGGAAGGAAGGACTTAAACAGATGCCAACTTCTTAGGAAAACAGTAATCTTTGACAAAATCTCAAATACAACAAATATTAAATGCTAGTTTTTGGTCTTTGTAGCTGTTCCTGTTTTCTGCAATGACAGCTTTGTACGAATGGTACAAATAGTTATGCGGATATTCTATTATTTCTCCACTTTTTCCTCCAATTTCTCACTTCAACCACTATCTGTTTTTATGCCTGAATAGGATACCTCTCCTATGTGTTGACAGGGATGTCAGAAACTCAAGTTCTGAAAGAATGCCAGGACAGATATATCTTTTAGTTTTAAAGTCTCTTTGTCTGCGATTGGAAAATGTCTCTCAAAGGTTCCACCACTAAAAGGAGACCTGCACATGCCACCCTACTTGTCATGGGGAGCACTTAACTTGTAAAAGCAGTTGTGTAATATCAAAACGGGAAACAATTGTTCCAACAGTATTGTCCCCTGTCATGCAACAGTGTAGCGACATGGTTTAAATGGAATCATTTCAGTCTTCTTCTTTTTGAGCAAAAACTATTTCAAATGTAAATAAATACATTTGATGACTGAATTATGTCGTAATCTTATCTTTGTAATAATAGCAATTATTAAAGGGACCAAGAAAAACATAGGTATAAGAGGTGATTCCAGTTTTTAGCAAATTGATCAATAACATCATCTAGGTGCACACAATACAATCGGCTTCAATTTATGGATGTGAAGTTTTTGCCATTTTTCAATTTTAATATATATTAAACTCAGCACTGTACAGTTTTGAAAATACAGTAATAACTAATTTAATAGCATAACATATAAAAGGTAGACATACAGTTATTGAATACAGCATTATTCACTCTCAAAGATAATAACCGCATATTCCCAATTTAGAGTATCTCATCCATGGAAACGTTTTTCATAAGCCACCGCTTTTCCATCTTAAATTACATTAAGAAAAAAGTGCATTCAATTGTTCGAATAACCATTTCAGCTTGCACTGCTGCCGTTTATTTTCTGTAAACTGTTTTCATATTTTCTTTTGTGCTCACATCTAATACCACTTTATTATCTTCCACTCATTATGCCATCTAGATCTCACCCCACCTACGAAGGTGGTTTTTGAAATGCTTTCTCAACATCTTAAATGACACATCATTTGACCTTGCTTTCCCACTTACAGCAATCACAGTGGTCACACTTGCTCCGAGAATATTTAATGTCTCAGCGGGCCGACTTATGCTACGCTAACACATTCAGACAGCCTTTCCTTTAGTAGCAGTGACAGTTTACTTGTAACATCAATCATTTATTTCAATGAGAGATGACAGAGGGACAGACACACATTATCACATCACTGAAGATCTTGTTGGCCGTGGATAACGGGAATGTTATTATTTGTCTTCTGTAAATAAATACAGACTTCTACCATAAGTGAAATATTTCAGTCATGTTCTCTTTATGAAAATGTTAATTAAGCTATGTAATCATGTTTCCTTGGTTACTATTTTACAAAAAGAAAAGGTTTAAGTGTTGTGTATTTCTAGAGGCAGACAATGATTGCCCCTTTAAAGCAAGTTGTGAAAGAAGTAAAAGAACACTTGAGTTTATTAAAAAACATTATATTCCTACTCAAAGGTGGGGGTGGGGAAATGCAGACAAAAGGTCAGAAGCTGGTTAACTCACAAAGAATGGGTTACTGAAGATTGACCTAAAGTTCGGGTTTATTTTTTGTTCTGAGATTACGTTCTGTGAGACTGCACACTTTAAATTGGTCCACAATTTCTGCCAGAGGAATTCATTGTTTATTTGTGTGTTTTAGGCTCCACTGTGTATACCTGCATGCTGAATAAGGGAGGAGGGACGGAGGCCGACCTGACGGTGAGCAGACTGGAGCCTGGTGCTGCCAACATGCCCCTGGCCCCACAGTCCAATGGTGAGCCACAGTGTGTTTTGTCTGTGATACTGCTATATCTGTTGCTCTCTCTATTGTTACAGTTTTCTCTTTATCATCACATCAGTGTTGTTTATTTTAATTTGAACAATTTATTTATCTGTTGCTGGATGTATCTGTCATTGCATTGTATCTAATTTTGGATTTATGGTTCTTTAGCTCTGTTTAACGTATTGTTGTGTCTTTATCCATCATTTTGCTCCTTCCTGTATCTCTTTTGTTGCGTTTAATGCCATCTTATTTGTCATTGTACTTAAATTCCCTCTCCATTTAATAATGTGTTTTCTTATTTTTAAATCCCCTAAAATCTATGAACCTGTCTAAACTGAATAATACATGTGCAGAGAATTTCACATTTCTGTGCTGAAAAAGGGCGATGCCTGTGCACTCCTAAAATCTGTGTTTCAAACACAGCTAGATTTGGTATGTCATAACATTGAAAGGCAATTGTTGTTGTGTAGCTGTTGACACAACACCGGCAAAGAAACGGGAAACCTTCAGCGCAGAGCAGTACAGAGTTTACATCAATCAAAGTGTTGACAGCAAACGTGGTAGTGTGGCCGGTTTTTCCATGTAAACCAGACCCTGAAGTGAACTACCAAAACATCCCACTAGAGATGATTGGATATGTTTCAAACCAATAACTCAGTCAGCTACTGCAAGCAACAAGCTAACAAGCTAACAAGCTAATTTACAACACAAGCAGGAAAAAAATGGTTATTACTTTCCACTCTGATGCTGTTGCTTGTCGCAGATGTCGCAAAACGGAATCTTCTCCAGACATGTATGACTGAATCTCTCTGGAGTTTCCTCTTATGGAGAAACAGACACCAAAACTTCCGGGAGCCGGTTGCAGAGCTCTGTGCTGCCATTTTGATGCTATCATCCTACAGTACTGACAAGTAGTGTTTGGGAGGGAGAGGCGAAATAAAGAGTAAACAAATAGATGTTTCTTTTTTTCTGTTTCCTTTTTTGGAAGCTATGTTCAACAAAATGTGTAACAGCAGAATATGCCATAGTATAGTATTTTTGTTGTTGTGTGTTTTTTCTGTCAGCTGTCTTTACTCCACTTAACCAATTTTAATTTCTTTCCTGTCTTTGCTCCAGGTGATGTATACTACCTGGCCATTGGAGGAGGCGTGGCAGAACACAACTGGAACCACATCAGAACCGTTCTTCAGGATGAAGGCTTCAACTGCCAGCTAACGGACCACTCTGAGGACATGGGGATGATCAGCATCCAGGGACCCAAGAGGTGAGGAAACAAAAGAGTGATGGTAGGCGGCTACGAATGAATGGAGACATTTTTATGATTCATGGATCCAGGTGAAGAAAAGGACAAAAGAAGAGGGTTGGAGAAGAGAGTAAAAAAAAAGAATAGAAGCGTTATGATTCACATCCTAGACACAAGCAATTGTGAAACAGAAAGGAAGAGCTGTACGATCGATAAGAGGAAAGCGGGTTAAGTGCCCATTCTCGAGGCCATAGGCGTAAGAGGTGAGAGGCAGTGTGCAGGGACGGAGGGTGATTGAAAACAGGAGACAGAAACATGGGGGTTAAAGAGTACTTCTGCCGTTTAATGGAGCCCTTGGCTGTTTCCTGATGCTGTAAACCGTTCAAAGCTAATTTAAATCTATTTCTCATCTGGGTGAGTGGTAATGATACAAATCAATGGCGCTCTATGTGTCAACAACAGTTTGCATCTTGGGTTAGAGGTTCATGGGCCTGACTCGTCAATATTTCACCTGAATCATGCAAACGCGAAAAGTTAAAGGCATGAGCAACTACATGGCAATGTTTGTCTATTAGTAAGTCACCTACTGTAGCAAAGGGAAGGTAATACTAGCTTTGATTTTTCAAATAATTTGTATTAATTCATTTTTTCAATTGCGGCATCATTTCATCTGCTGTAAAGAAATCATGTTTTCATTTTCTGTTGTTTACTCTAGGAAGAATTGAAAGAAATTCATACTGTCTGCTTTTATAGGAAAACAACTGGAACCAATTCTTTATAATTTATTTTTGTTTTTAAATCAGAAAAAACATCGTTCAGTTTATTTTTTCTAAAAGGCTATTAATTTCCATATTATGACAATATTTGTCACTGCTAATTCTTTCAGTTTTAGCTTAGGTTTATGTTTGTTTGTTTGTTTGTTTGTAGCCTTTATTTAACCAGGTAAAATCCCATTTGAGATCAACGATCTCTTTTTCAAGGGAGACCTGCAGCACATTATGATTATAACCCTGAGTGGAATATCTTATCAACCATCCATGATTTTATGAATTATAATGATTAGTAGTGATTGCTTAACTTCCCCTTCATTTGTCTAATACTCTGTGTTTCTCTGGGTTATGGTTTAAAATGGCTCAGCTTTAGGTATTTTGTATTAACTTTACTTTTTCCTAATGACCAAAGAATGAATCCAGGAATATTATAGGATAACCATTATAGTAGACACTGGTGATGTTATCTTAGGCCTCTAATCCGTACACTCTACTGTTCTCTACATGATATTAGTAATGAAAGGTAATCCTATAGAATCATATCTCTTATCCCACATCCCTGCCATAAGGACTCCCCTGTGTTAACACTACAGTGGTGACCTTCAAAGTATAAATGTCAACAACTCTGTTTACTGCATTTATACTACACCTATGACATTTTACAGCCTGCAGATTTGACAGATGGAGGACAACCAGGAACTGTGATGTCTTTTCTCCATTTCAGTTTTTTTAAATGAAACATAACCGAACATGAGACTCACAGTTTCCCTTTTACCCTCATCCATCAGAACCATCATCTATTGATTTATTTGTCAGGATGAGAAATCTTGTTCTGTACGTGGGAAAACAGTACCTCACATTTGGACATGGGCTGTAGTCCAAGTTTGTCACTCTCTTCTTGCAGTTTTCCTTTTGTTGTACTCCGATAGCAAGCAGGGCCACCTTTTACCTCTCCCCGATCTCTGTCTCTGAACTCCTCGTCTATCTTTTCCTCCCCTCTCACCTCCTCTGCCCCCCCCCCCCCTCCATGCACCCTGCGTCTTTGTTCTTCCCTCTCCCCAGCAGCAGGGTTAGGCCACACTGTTTTCTGTGTGGGCTATGTCGATTTATTCTTCTCCTTGAGGCTTTTCTCTCATCTTCTGTTCTCCTCTGTTTCTTCACTGTCAGACTCATGTCTCTGTAGATCTTATCCAGCTCTTTTTTTAAATCTCTCCTTTCAATCGCTTATTCTCTGTGTCCTCTTTCCCTTTGTCAGATTTTTCTGTTGCTCTTGCTCTTATTGCTTACGTCAAACCAGAAATCAGTGCGTCACTAGCAGCAGAAAGTCAATATATACTGTGTGTGTGTGTGTGTGTGTGTGTGTGTGTGTGTGTGTATGTGTGTGTGTGTGTGTATATATGAATTCCCACATGCTCATAAAAGGTTGATTATGTAGCTCATTGAGTTTTTCTGAACATCCAAAGTGCATTTAGCTTGTGAGTGTTTGTATTAAAATCACATGTGTGCGTATCGGTAATATAAACAAGATTAGCGTTGAACAGTAACATAATGAATCCCAGCTACCATGTTATTGTTTCTGCCACAAATGAGGAATTGCTAAAATCGACCCTCCAATGTTTGGGGTTTGTTTTCTAAGATAGCCAATTGATCTCTTTAAAGTTTGAGGAGATGGAAAATTGCAGCGTTAAAAAAAAATTAATCTCTCCCCCAGAGAATTCCAATTCTCCGGAAGAAGGAGTATCTGGATTTGCAGCTTTTTGCTCGCACAGCTTGCAACAGGGTGCTCATCTGTTGCCTTGTAATTATGAACCATATTGATAATATATTAAATCATGTGAGAGAAGACATATGTGTGTCTGTATGTATTCATAATCTGATTCACAGCTGAGAGCCACAGTTAAGTGGCAAGTCAGAGAAACAAATTGGTTGTTTGCTAGACTCCGGCTAAACACACCCACACACACACACACACACACACACACACACACACACACACACACACACACACACACGGTCACTGATTACATATAGCTAATTGGCCTTGCTCTTGGTCTTGGGACTTCAGTGAGTTACTCAAGGGAAGACAGAAACTGGAGGACAGCCCGAAGAGAATATTAGCCTGTGCATTATACAGTACTGGCTCACTCATGCATAGATGCAAGAAATGTTTTATTCACATACGAACATCCCCGTTTCTACATCCAACTATGAACACATCAATTGCTGTAGGAAAAAAAAGTAGGACGCCCCCACACAGATACACAAGCATGTACATCACACGCAAACATAACCTGGACTCTCTCCCCAAATATCTTCAGCCTTGGCTTCATGCCACACTGTTTCAAAAATATTGCCTGTATACCTGCCCACTCACAAACACACACGCAGCATAGGAAGCTAAACTTAGTGTTTCTTTCTGTTGACTCATCTTTATGTAATATTAATTATTGGTGTGTTTGTGGGAGAGGGGAAAATGGTTCTATAGCAAATATAATAAGTGTTCGTTTTGTTTTGCTTTCTTGAACATCTGATATTCGAGTAAGCAAATCTAGTATCTTTCTCCACAGCAGTTGTGCAGGTGTAAATATTTTGACTGAGCATCTCTGTTTCTGTGTTTCTGTGTGCAGTCGAGAGGTGCTGCAGGAGGTGTTGGACGCCGACCTGAGCAACGAAGCATTCCCCTTCTCCACCCACAAAGTTGTCAGCGCAGCAGGGCATCAGGTGAACACACACACATTAAGTGAGCAGAAATCTGAGACTATGTGCATGCATTTGTGTGATAGATGTCTGTCCTGACCTTTCTTTTCTAACTCAACTCCAAACTCATAGAGTAACTGCGCAGCTGTTTACAAGCAATTGGAAAACCATATATTTATACATTATTCTGTTTTCCAAACAGTTGGGGGAACGGTCAAATGTGCCAAATTAATACTGGCAACAACCTCCTGTTAAATTACGCTCTATATGTACGGAGGGGCGAGTAAAGCATTTGCTTCTGGCTGCGAATCAAATTCTAATGGAGAAGTCTTAACTACAACCAAAGGCAATATGTGGTTGACCCCACTTCTTACTCAGAATCACAAGAATCAGAAACAGGTATATTAACACATACGAGTAATTTGACTTGGTGTTGTGGTGCAGACGTAAAAACAAAACAAAAATGTAAAACATAGATAGAAAACTATTTGAAGAAAATATATATTCCTGCACAGTTACTGCATTCAGCATGGATATCCCTTCTACAAAAATGAACGAAGGCATACAACAAATATTTGTTTGTGTACTGTTTGGCCGTAAACTGAGAATTTCTTTGCCAGCCACCATGCTGGAAACAGTCGAGCCAAAAGCAAACAGTTTGGCTCCAGCATGCGGTGGTCACTCACTAACATGCATACACCATCACGTGCTGTAAGGTACTGAAGCCTCGGCCGCTCAGTTTGACCTCCACATTGTTCCTGGCCTTGGATCAAACGGAGCATGTAGTACCGGCCCATGCAGCGACGCATATGTCCACACACACTCGATCTGTCTTAGTTGCTTTTGAATAAATTATACAACGCTCCCATGATTGCAGTCAGCATCTTCTCACAGCTCTGCAGAAGTGTTAGTGTGCGCTGCTTGTGCTGTGTTCCAGCTGGTTGCTGGCTTCGTCCGGGTGACATTTTAATGGCTGCACTGCTGCGAGAGTAGAGCGCTCTTTCTCTCTCTCTCTCTCTCTCTCTCCCTCTGCCCCGTGCCCCCCTCATATCTCATTAGACTCTCTCTCCTCCCAGTTGATGCAGTGTGCTGGCATGCGTGTTCGGTGATTAATTCATGTTTGTATGCAATATTTTACTTGTGTCTGTGCTCTGTGTCTATATTTGATGTTTGCCTGGTAGATAGTATGTGCATAGGGATTGCGTGAGTTTATCGCCTGTGTATCTGGCGGAGAGTTTTTTGTGTTGCGTCGGCCTACATGTACTGTCCTCCCCAGAGTTTCATGGCGTACATACTGTATGGGGCCCAGGGTGATCCCTGACTGGCCAGATGGCCTGGCTGTCACAGCACCCACTGGGGAAACTGTTGGAGAGTTTTCTCTCTTTTTCTCACTCCCTCCCACATTTTCTCGCTCGCTTCCTTTCCTTTTTTTTCTTAAGCATTCCTACTTGTTTTAAATAAATAATGTTGCATCCTAATCATTCTGGTATCCTTCAACCTAGGTGTTATTCTCATAGTGTTTGTATTGTGATGATATATGCCTGACACAGAAGTCATCTTAAACTCTTGTCTTTAAGTTTAAAAGATTAAGCACTCCCATGGAAATCCACACAGCTGTTGTTGCAAACTGCATAACATAGTGGATGATTTTCTATTCACTAAAGTGAAGTTTCAGCCTGCCTTTGATTCAACGTTAGTGAATCCTATAGATGTAGGAGAAACACAAGGAAGTCGTTTGTGTTTCAGAAGTGCAAAAAAAGACAAAAGACAAGATACTCACTCCTAATTGATTGCTTCCATAAGTTCATTGCAGTATCTTCAGCTATTTCCAGACTTTTTCTAGTTTACTTGTAGTTTTAAACACACCATTTTGCATTGTTATATATTACATTTAGTAATTTTGGGGGAAAGCTTTGCCATATTTAACACTGTTTGTGCTGCATTCATCAAAACTCTACAATGGAAGTGTTGAAATGTTTCCATGGCAAATATTCACAATGGAGTAGTTTTTGATGATAACATTCATCCTTTTTCTTTTTTGATCTGTAGCATTTACTTTTCTTCCTTCTCAGTTTTATTGTTCATTATCTGGTACATGTTTTCCCGCCTCTCAGGCCTTGCCAACTTCCCTGCTCTTTCTGTTTTGATTCTGTTTTCCCTGTCACCTCCATCCCCCTTACTCACTGCAGTCATTTCCACCTTTTATCCCCATAAAGGTATTTTTTAGGATTCAACCTAATTGGACATTCAATTCTAAAGGGAGATTACACTTTCAATGTGCGTGAACCTTATCTTATCCTTGCATCTTTTTCTATCCTATTCCATGTATTCTATCCTGATTTATTGACTTTCTCTCTCCAGTTGTTGCACATGGTGGCTGCTGTTTATATTAAGATTCATTACCGGTAGATCTGCTCATTTAAAAGTATTAAAACGTGTGTGTGTGTGTGTGTGTGTGTGTGTCTGAACACAAGCAAAGGCATGACAGCCTCTACCAGCCTCTCTCCATCTCTCTAAGCCTCCTCTCTCTGGTCCAGGTGCGGGCGATGCGTCTGTCGTTTGTCGGAGAGCTCGGCTGGGAGCTGCACATACCCAAAGACTCTTGCCTTCCGGTCTACCATGCTGTCATGGCTGCTGGGGCAAAGCACGGCATCATCAACTCAGGCTACAGGGCCATAGACTCACTCAGCATAGAGAAAGGTAACTATTTAAATAAATCACTAACCCCTAAAATAACAGTCCCTTGGTGCCTCTCATCCCTAATGTCTACCTTTCCCCCCTAATAATCAGGCTACAGGCATTGGCACGCAGACCTTCGCCCTGATGACACACCTCTCGAGTCAGGGTTAGGCTTCACCTGCAAAATGAAGAGCTCCATCCCATTCCAGGGCCGTGATAGGCTGGAGAAACAGAAGGAGGAGGGGCTGAGGAGGCGCATCGTCTGCTTCACCATTGATGAGTAAGTAAAGACTGAGATTATATGCTACTAGGAATGAAATTATCTTTACAACAATCGCACATTTGAGCACTGACGTAAAAAGAAAAAGTTAAAATAAAGCTTCCTGCAGCCACTTAGACTTCCTCCATAAATAGATTTCTTAGCATAAGCCTAAAATAATTTAAAGAATTGTCTTACTTTACTTACTAATACTAATACATTTACCAAATGTGCAGTGAGTTAATGTAATGAAGAAGACCATGTGTACGGATATTGTGTGTCAGGATGGAGATGCAGTTTAATTTAATATTTATTGATTTTCCCTTCTGTGGTTTCTGTTTTTAGACATTTAACACTCTGCAAATTATTTTATTAAACATGACTATCCGTTTCCATTAGATCTTTGTCCGAAAAACACATTAACCATTCAAAATGTTCCACTTGGTTCAGACGCCAAATCACGGTTCAGTTGATATTCATTTTTAATGAGGTTTACACTCTCGATTGAGTTATGGGAAGACAAATCTTACAAACGCATGATGGTCAAACAAAAACAAATGTTTTTCCTCTGATCTTGAGGAGATTTTCTGAGATGAAAACATTGCTTTCTTTACGAGAAAGACATTTGATCAAAGTGGGCATATTGGTCCTGACAGATATAATTAGTGTGAATATGCGTATTATAATAGTATTTGTGTATTTGTATAAGAGGGATTTTGTGTATGTGTGTGCATGAGCGAGTCAGTGTTGGAATCAGATCAAATTAATTGTGTTTAAAGAAACATTCCAACATGACAATAAATTAGCTGAGTGTGCAAGATGAATGTGTGTTGTGTGTTTGACTGTTAAACACTCTCCTCCTCTGTCTCTCCCTCAGGAAAGTTTCCATGTTTGGTTTGGAAGCAGTTCACCGTAACGGCACTCCTGTTGGTCACCTACGTCGTTCAGACTATGGCTTCTTTATCGACAAAACTATCGGATATGGATATATCCGCAACCCTGATGGAGGAGTGGTAAAGACCTTAAACTCACAACACATGAACATATACATACACATTGTACACACTGTTTACCTATCATTACTTCCTTTTTTGTGTTTTATGCCGTTGTGCTCTTTTTTTAAGATTGAGGACTGATTCTTTTATCAATAATAGCCTCAGACTGAATCATAAGTGTTATCGGCCAGCATACAGGTTTTTTTTGGGTGTTTCTCTCTCGTGAATAATACAGATGCATACAAAATAACAGATGGAACATCAAACAGAAGGATTGAAGCAGCAAGAGAGAAACACAAAGTTATTGGTGGAAGTGGTGTGCTCTAAGGCAAAGAGCCTATTTTAGTTAATTAAACAGAACAATCCTTTGTTTTTTTAGCTTTATATAGATCCGTATCTACGATTCTGTGCTCATGGACACACAACGTTAGACACACACTGCGTTGCGAGCACATCTGTGTGATCGAATGTGTGCCTTTGTGTGTGCTCATTTGGTTAATATCCATCCTTGAGTCGTGACCAGCAGTACAAAACAAAGCGGAATGACTCCTGGCTTTGACGAGCACTACAGTTTGGAGATGCACTCACTCGAATGCAGACATGTGCACACACACACACACACACACACACACACACACACACACACACACACACACACACACACACACACACACACACACACACACACACACACACACACACACACACACACACACAGTCAGACAGACAGGTCTGAGCGATCTAGTGTCCTGTCACTCAGGATTACAGAGCACATCGCCTTCAATCACATCACTGACTTCAACAGAAGTAACTTTGTAAGAGTCTTCTTCAGACCCATGTATAGAGAACAATATAAATGTCTGCACTCTATGGTACGCTTGATCGCTCTCTTCTCTCTTTCCTTGCTTCCTACCTTATTCTTCCTTTTTTAATTCACTGTTTCACTGCTTTGTGGTATTAAGGCAGTGGGTACACCATTAAAATGTATCAAACTATTTCACTGGCTGTCAGACTGAGTTCTGTACATGCATCAGTGGTTTGACAAGTGAATGTACTCCTTGAAAACTAAGCAGTTATACTTCTATGCCTGTGTGCAGAACGCCATCAAATAATGCCGAGCAAGATGGAGTATGAAGTTAATTAATTTAAGTTACAGCCCAAAAGCAGTTTAACGTCTTTAAAGAGGCCCTATTATGCTTTTGGGAGGTTTTCCTTTCCTGTAGCGTGTTGTATAGGTTTTGGTGCATGTCAATGGTCTGCAAAGGCTAAAATCCCAAAGTGTCCCCCCCCCCCCTGCCTGAAACGCCTCGATTGGACTCCTTTGATTAATTCCGTAACACAATGACATCACTATGTAACACGTGCGCTTCAATTGGCTAGCGCTCCAACAAACTGTACGTGATTAAGTTGTGGGACATCTCTAAGCGGTTGACAAATCCCAACAGAGCCGGCCAGCTAACCAATCAGAGCTGAGGGTGAAAAGAGCTGCTGCAGCACACATTAAAGTGTGAAAACATGTCACAGTAGAGACACAAAATACAAATATGAACCTAAAGATTAGCACAATAGGGCCCCTTTAATTGTCCCTTTTTTATTTGAGCGCTCAAAGGTGGCTGAAATAATATTTGTAAATCCTTATGATACTGTTCTGAAAATGCCAGTGGGAATTGCATTATCCTTAACAACTTGGACTGGGCTTTGCAAATTACAGTAGAAGACTCTGACCTGCAAGGTTTCATATACATGTCTGCAATAGGTGCTTTGAATAATTTGGACCCGCACACTGTTATTTCATTGTGTGGTAATAGGAGCACCTGGCTAGAGCTTTGGATTTAAATATACTGTGGAGTCACTTTAGAAACCTGGGGGCATTCATCTTAATAGAATACAGTGAGACTGAAAGTGCTGCATGGTTGCTTTTAAGAATCATGGACTAAATGCAGCAAAACCCAGGTAAATAATGGATCTGGCAAGTGTGTGTAACACTTCACCATTCCAAGTGAGACAAGGGCATCAACGCCATACCTGGAACATGGAAGTAGTTGAAATTAAATGGTGATGAGAGAGAGAGAGCTCGTGTGTGTGTGTGTGTGTGTGTGTGTGTGTGTGTGTGTGTGTGTGTGTGTGTGTGTGTGTGTGTGTGTGTGTGTGTGTGTGTGTGTGTGTGTGTGTGTGTGTGTGTGTGTGTGTGTGTGTGTGTGTGTGTGTGTGTGTGTGTGTGTGTGTGTGTGTGTGTGTGTGTGTGTGTGTGTGTGTGTGTGTGTGTGTGTGTGTGTGTGTGTGTGTGTGTGTGTGTGTGTGTGTGTGTGTGTGTGTGTGTGTGTGTGTGTGTGTGTGTGTGTGTGTGTGTGTGTGGCAGGGAGAAGGGAGTCAGTCTGTGAAAATGTGCTCCCTGGGTTACGAGGAGCTGACATTGACTCATGAGTGAATGCTTTCAGCGTTTTATAACTCCAGCGCCGTTCTCTTCTGTCAGATACGACTGCTGTGAAATTGTCTGCTCTAGAGCGCTCTGTCAGCTGGGAGAAGTCACATTTTTTTTTTACAAAGAGCGTGGATTAATTGGTCGTCTAATTTCCTCTCTGTTTTAATCTCCGTCATCCTCCTCATCTATATCAAATGTAAATTCCCTCCCCACCTCATATTTCCATGCTCTGATCCCTCTCTTCCTTTCTTTATCAGGTGAGTGCCGATTTCATAAAGAGCGGCGAGTTTACCCTGGAGAAGATGGGAGTGACGTACAAGGCCAAGGCCCATCTTAAATCTCCATTTGACCCTCAGAACAAACGCGTCAAGGGCATCTATGATTGAGAAGGACCACACATGTGAAAACTGAAGAAAACACACTGGTTGGAGAGTGAGGCTGAGAGAGGTGCAGCTTACAAATATTATGCATTATAGCTTAGATAGATTAAATGTGACAGGAAATAACTGGTGGGGATAAAAGACACTTTTTTAGGTCTAAAATGTAAATCAAAATACAAAAGAGGTGCTAATTTAGTTATTCTTGTACAAATGTTGATTGTTAAGCTTTACATTTTAAGCCTGCTCTGGGTTTAAGAGTAACACTTGTGAATGCTCTCATGTGAGAAATATTACTATGAAGACAAACTATAGGTGAACTACAGTATCTTTGCTCTAGTAATCAAATGTGTTTTCCCAGTACACCTGGATAAGTCCCTCGCGTGATCCTGCCATCTTTGAATAAGCCTGAGCTTTTTTCTGGATCGCTTTTAATTACTAAAATAACCTCACATGATTAGGTCGTTATTAAAAATAGAAACTAAACTGAACAATATTTGCTCTTTTCAAACAATCACAAGTACGTTTTGAAGCCTTAACACTAGATAACTCAGGGAATCTCCTTTACATCTAGTTAATACTGTGAATTCTCTATTGGCAGCACAAGTTTTGTGTATTGGTGCTAAAAAGTAAATAACTTTAAATATTTAGGCATGTATAACAGTCAAGTTTTTCCCTTTTTCAAGTGCTGTATTTTAGATATTAAAATAAAGTATTTCATTTATCCTATGAGGCCATATTGTACCATATTGGGGAATCAAAGTGTTTCCAAACCATTCACAAGCCCTTCTGGCAGTTTGAGTCAGATTACAGTGACTGATACTGTTGTTGACAACAGTGACTAAAACTGATTTTCACTCTGTAGTATGGTATCTAAATCTTAGGCAGACAGGGTGTTTATAAAAAAAAAAACACCCTGAGGCATAGTTTATCCAGCCAGGGAGGAAACACTGCTGTAGAAGAAAATACTGGATAAAGACAAGAAAGAAAGCAGCAGTTACAGATAGAGCCTTTGTTTTCTGACCCCCCCCCCCCCCCCCCCCCCCTCTCAGTCATTGCTGTCCTCTTCTGCTCTATACTGCCGTCGCTGCTGTTTGCAAACTCAATGCTCTTAAGTTCGTTTCTTACCAAATGCCATTGTCATTTAACAAGAGTTATCTTCCAATCCAGGCGCTTATTTGCTGTTGTCCTGCTGCTAAATCAAACTCCACCATCTGTACATCTGCAGGAGGCGACAGCACATTTATAATCGCCTTGGCCTTTTAACATTTCAAAATGTGATCTTGGTACAATGGACTAGTGAGTTTGACAGGACTGTTTTGTAGATTTCTTGTAATTAAAATGTACATTTTGCTAATACAACTAGCTTCATCTGTCATCTCACTCAGTCATTTAGTGTATGCCACATGTATACACTGTGTGTGTACTGTATAGATATACACTGCTAACTAACCAGCTATTATTTTATTTGTCACCAACTCATGGTTGTTGTAAGGAAAATCTTCAAAGTAAAACTGACAGAAAAAGAGGAATCACCAGTCAAACTCTTTGATGGCATAATCATGTCTTAAATGCAAGTATGTGCAGTAATTCAAGATACTAATTCTGCTAGTTATGTCTTAAGTCTAACGACAAAAATATTTTACATTCAACACCTGTGCTTGTATCCCCTTTCACTAACAGTTCAGGCCAAACAAGAAACACATACAGTGTGAACAGCACATTAATAATTGTGTGAAAGCAGGAAGTCCTCTGTGTGTACAGTATGGCTACTACTCGCCTCTCCAATGTGTGTTGCTGCACGTTCAGCACAAAATGTTTACTAATGTGGAATGATTCATTGATTTCGCCCAGAAGGCCATTAATCATTGAAATGGTTGTTCTGTGTAGCGGCTTAGGTTAATAACAAGATTTATTTGGGAAATGTTAAACAGACTGACATAAACTATCACTACTGGTCCTCTACACCAGGGGTTCCCAACCTTTTTTCCCAAGAGCCCCCCCAAATGATTCCTGTTGGAAGTTGCCGCCCCCCCCCCCACACACACACACACGGGGGGGGGGGGGGTGCAACAGTGGTAATTAAAGTTTAAAAGTCTCAAAAATGCTACAACTACTGTCACAAACTGGATGAATGCGAAGTATTTTGTTAAATGAGGATGAAAGCGTAATTAAGGAGCACTATTGGAGTGACTTTGATGGTTATTGGACTCAGGATTAATTAATTTGAATTCCCGCTGAATGAAGAAATTAAATGACGGCGCAAGTGGAAACAATTCACAAAGGGATTAAACTGTTTAAAACACATGCTCAAAGTAAGCTGGATTTTGCTGATGTATTTATGTGGATTCAAAAGTCGTAAATAATCTACAAAATGGGAACCACTGCTCTATACAATATGTCAACAGGTATTTTTTCCTAACTCAGTTCATAGAATGTCTCTCTCCATGATGTGAATACTACAAAAGTACTGATGATAGAAAGCAGGTGATTCTTATACTGTATGCAACATGTCTTAAGTGAATTGTTAACCAGTTAAATTAACATTAATGACCAGTAAACGTGTTAAATGATTGTTAAACCAGACTTATTTAATCTGTCCAAAGCAATTTGTGTATTAATAAATCCTTTTTGATCTGCCAACATTTTTGTGACATTTATTATTCAACACACAAAAACAAAGCAAATACACACAGGACGCTAAAGAGTGGGAATAATACAATGCTGAACTGAAGAAGTGGTTAAAAAAATAAGTTATTTACTTTTGAATAATGTTACACTTTTGTCCCATGCACTAATTAGTGTGCCACATTTTTGTGTTACATGACCATTGCCATTTCCATGTCAAGTGCTAAAACATTACATATGAATTCTCATTCATTTGGGAATACTCATAACATAGATATTATACAATAACAGCGAGTAGAGAACATCATCCATCCCCAAACACAGATAAAACTATCAATTCTGCTCAAAGGAGCATCTTTAACTTTCTCCAGGTTAGCAGCCCTCTTGTGGGCTGAAGCAGGCCGTGGTGACCCCCTCGCTCAGACTTGGGGTGTGGGGGGTTTGCTGGTGGGGGGCGCCCCTCCCTCACAGGGGTAGCGAGGCTTATCCAGGATGGAGGTGACCACTGGTACAGGCTTCTTGTCCCACTCCCCCTGGAGAAACAGATATATAATGTAGTTGGTCACATTTGATCATTGTTTGGGGGGGGGGAGTGTTTTGTCCTTGATATTTTGCAGGTTTTATTATGTGACAGTTTTTACTGTACAGTTCATCAAACCTGCCCAAAAAAAGTATTTGTGGTTTCTAGTGAACTTTCTTTTACGGCACATAGTTGTTCAACTGTAAAATAGCTGCTTCCAACCCTTATTACAGAGTCAAGTCCAGTTCCCCCCATAAACAGTGTTTGTGTGTGTAGTTTTTTATTTCAGTTCTATGTTTTGTCAATTCCTTCCTTTTGCAGTGCTTATCTTTGCCTCCAGCTATTTAGTTTTCAGCATTTATTAAGACATCTAAATTATTGCTTTGTTAGACAATGATTGATGTCATTCTTTCGTGCTCGTTTTTAATTGATGTGATTAATAGCTGTACTCCCGGTTGATTTGATTGTTATTTAGATCACCTGTTGCGCAGGGGTTGACTCATAATGAATAATTTAGAGAAGCTTGTTGCATTTACCACACAACGCCCCTTGTATTAGGGCTTGAGAGAGGTGGGTACACCCAGCACTTTTGATCTTTTACCAACTTATCCTAATTTTAGCAGATATTGTCACCTAGATGCTCTGATCTTTAGGTGTTATTGAAACTTATTTGCAGTCTTAACTTTTCTGACTGACGGTGATTTAGAGCATTCTGAAATGCCAGTCACTTGTGTAGAACAGGACAGTTTCAGGCCGTGGATTTTAGCTTTCAGTTGTCTCTGTTGAACTTCACAAGTTTAATGAAACTCTTCTTTTGGACAAACTCCAAACAGTTGGTGTTCATCATTCATTTCTAAGCTTTTCCCTGCATTATATTAAGAATCGACACCACAATGACGTTAACACTGAGAGTCGACTGTAACCTTGGCTGCTAAATTACTTTTAGAATATTTCAAGCATGACGGCCTCACCAAAAATATATTATTAACAGTCTCTCAATTGCCTTCCAGTGGTGGCATTGATAATGAAACACATGCCAGTTTTGTATTAAATATACCATAATAAATACTCTTGCATTTTTGTAAAAACATCAAGCCATATGCTATCTTTCAAGAACATGAGCCTAATGTTTCAAATGAGGTTTTTGATATTTTTTCTCCCAGACACTGGACCTGATGTTATAAATCAAGGAGGACGTTTTTTGTTCTTACATAAAACCTTGATCAAGGCCTCTAACCGTGTTTGATCTCGGATGTATTTATTCACTCTGATCCAAACATCCTGTGTGTGTGTGTCTGTGTTTTTGTTATAAGTTAACAAGCAATCCGTTCAGCCGATCTGACTATTCTGTCCGACTGATGCCTGCCTTCTGATCGGGATAATTGGCGGCTTGGCAGTCGATTGCAGTGTGTGTGACGTGTGTTAGTGTGTTGTCTGGGACTTACAGGAAAGAGGCGTGCACTCGACTGGTTGCAGTGCATGGAGATGGGGGCTGTGTTATAAAGGGAGTCCAGCACTTCTCCACTGAATGCGTCCCACTGTAGTTTAGAATACTGCTCCGTCACGTCCACATCACATACGCAATGGTCATCACCGTGGAACCTAGAGGGAGGGAAGGATGGAGGGAAGAGAGAGGTTGAAGGAAAGTCGATAAAGAGGAAGGCAGGGAGATTGAGAAAGGAGGAAGAGATTGCAAAAAGCAGATATAATTGGCATGAGAGAAAACACAGTTTCACTTTAAAGGACAAAACATCTGTTTTTTTTGCGATTAAAAGGAGTAATCACAACTCTGGTTCCCGGGAGCGAAGGACAAGAGTGACTGTTGATGCCAAGAATTGCTTAGTCATACAGGAGATGAAGGGGAAGATGTAAAATTAATGAAGGACGAGGGGCGCACGCAAGTGATTTCTGAGAGAGATAGATGAGTTTGTGCTAGTGTTACCTGTTAATGAAGTTAAAGTATTTCTGCAGGTATCCTGAGTCAACGTGGCTTTTGCAGAGCTCCAGCTTAGTTCGAGGGTAGTAGTGAACGTAGTTAACACACATTTCATCCATGATGCCAAAACCTCCCTGAGGATACAAAGAGATTTAGATGAAGATGGAGGAATGTGCAGTATAAAGAGCAGATGTAGGTATTAAGGGAGGAGAGATGGAAGGATTAAGAGAATAAAGGAAATGTGTTGGAGAAAGATAGAGGGGAAAAGAGAGATTAAGGAAGGCAATACTCAAGAATATTCCTTATGCTGTCGCCCAAGGTGAATTTAAGCAATATAAAAATAGTGTGCCGCTCACCAATGTAGGCTTGCTCCTATCTTCTGTGTTATAAGTACACTTAGTTATGAGGACGTCACCCTGCAGGGTAACAAAGCGCAATTGGATAGTTTAAGGTTATTGACAAAAATGTTAGATCCAGTGGCCAGTATTTGTTTTTTGTTATGCTGTGTGGAGCTCAGCTGCTGTGTTTTTGTCTCCAGAGAACTTCCTATCACATCACACATTATTACAGCCTGTCCCTACAGTATTTTCACTCAATTTAACCAGTTAAACCCCACAGCCCCGCGGGCGGGGGCAAAACGCAACATCTTGCAAGAAACAGCGTCTGAGGGCTTCTTAGCATTTAATAAACTATGAATGTGTCATACTCGCTTAACGGGAAGAAACTCAGCTATCAGACAATATTAACCATGTTTAGCTAAACGAAACAAAAGGGTAATAACAAAGGCTCTGAATTAGCCCTGAGCGAAAAAATGCTAACGTAATTAGCACAGAACTCAAGGTAAAAAAAACCTTATTACTTATCAAATCTGCACAAACAAGATATCGATTAGCAAGCTTAGATTCCACAGATTCCAGACATATAAGTATCATCACTGAGCGATCTGAACTCGCGACAGGGCAAACACAAACAGACATCACACCACGTAGCATTACGGAGCAAACACGGGAGAAATTCTTACCTATGCTGTTGTTCGGATCAAAACTTGTGTTCAATGGCATTAAAACGATAAAAACGCTGCTGAAGGTTAATCCATAGGTTAATCCAATGTGTCTGTGTCACTTTGAAATGATTACTGATAATCCATCTTCATATTTATGTCAATAACGGAGATTTCATATTAGCTGCTACGAGAGTGTATGATAGCTTCCGGTTTTGGGCATTCTGGCTACGCATCACTCATTCACCAATGGGTAATGTTTAGATGGATTCTAGGAACTTCCCCTCGATTCCATTGGCTCTAACGGTTCAAAAGAGGTGTCAATCATCAAAATCGACCAAGGGGGGCCATATATAAAAATGCACCCAAATGACCCCAGAAGTGTTTTTTTTTCTTCTAAATCTCTCTAAAAAGGTCAAGTGTCACTTGTTTTGCATCAATCTTGATACAGGGTACTTATTATATGTTATAGTTTGGATTCCTATAGCTTTTAGTCTACTATCCCATCATTCAAGGGTGGTTTTCACTTTCAGTAATGTTCTTTTTTTGGACGGACACTATAATTTACATTTTTGTTACTATGTTCAATCTTGAATTTACTTTAAAATACAAACATTCTATATTGATTCTGACTTTTCTACATCCAACTCACAGGTTTATCATTGCTTTGAGAAAGAAGATTATTAATTTACCCCTTTTAGAAGGGAAGTTATTGTCAATTGTTCTGGGAATGTCATTTTCGAGCCTGAGGCCTGAAAAATAGGCTCGGGGCTCAAGCGTGGTACTCTAATTCAGAACTTCAGGAAAAATACACCGGGGCTTGACCGTTTAGCCTTCATTCACCATTTACTGTGAAACATTAAAACATCTAATCTTCTCTGAATACAAATTATGCACAGAGAAAAACTAAAATAGACAATGCTTTATTAAATTGCAAGCATAGTGATCAACATTTACTTACAGGTAAAACATTTGTAATTTTCCTCAGAACTCGGATCGTCTAAAGGCGAGAAGAACAAAAGAAAATTAAGTAATTCAAGGGAAAATCCACCAAACATTTAATTGTGTACATGTCTTTTTACACCACATTTCCCTCTCTATCATCTTGAGTTTGGACATAATCGTAATTTATTTAAAATATGGAAAGATAATGTATTGATTTTGAGGATTTCCTTGGAGGCAGCTTTCATAGTTATTAGCTGTGTTGTATATGTTTCTTTAAGGTTTTCAGAAAGTGGTTTGTTCATATTTCTATAATGAGGATGCAGGGTTTGAAACAACACCACCACACAGGTACACAGATTAGTCAGACATCAACAGCAGCTGGAGATTTTATCTGGCAGTCTAGCAGATGTCCTTCTCTGCCCTCAGTGTGTGTGTGTGTGTGTACTTGCCCCGGGATATTGCACATTTAAAAAAAATAAAACACAACAGATGTCGTCTGCTCTCTCCCAACAATGTTAATGTTGTTGTTTGTCAGTTTTGATGTTGTTTTGACAATCAGGAAGTTATTTTATTCTGCTTTGAATGGAATTATTTACTGCTATACCTAATGAGGC